AGATTTATTGGTTCATTGCACAAGGATAAATCGACGCGATGATTTGTATATTCAACACTTCGTTCCGGCTTACGCCGAGGCGAAAGAATAAATTGGCACAAATCGTTATCTTTAGAAAACATCCGCATCTTGTATAAACAATGTCAGACGCACAATCGAAAATCGATTCGTTGCAAGAATTAAATTCTCAATTCATTGCCACAATTAGAAAGGAGAACGCTGAAGTCAAGGCCAAATATGATGAGGCTATGTGATAGAATGTCAAAATAGCAGTAAACAGTCTCATCCTTTAGCAAATATGAACTTTGAAAAAAATGGTATTCATAGACCGAGATGACTATAGACAGGGAATGATCATGCTATGCAAATTGGCAGAGGAGGAAGTGTGGCTATAGATCGAGTATTATATGATGTGACTATAATGAAGGAATTTTAATTTTGCTCATTTTTACTCACAATGATTTCTTTACGAGTCAACAATTTCTCTTTCTGACCTGTATTAGCGAGATTAAAATACCAGCGTGCCAGCATTTTTCGGTAAAATAGGGAAAGTTTGCGCACGTTGCAAAACAATATTATGTTCAACTCTAACGAATAAGCAGAAATAATATACATACGTAATATTACAAAATTTAGTCGAAGAACAAATGTAATAACAGTAAATTATATTTCGTCAAACGTGGGCAATTTAATACATTTATATTTTTTTTTACTTTTTTTTTATTTGCCATACTAAACATTAACAGTTAAATTGTAGTTTACTTACTTCGATATTATTTAAACGCTAATTGTTTAGCAAATTTTTATGTTTTCTTTAACTGACGCAATTTGTCTTCAAGCCTGACTCTCAACCAAATATGAATATAACGTAATTTCAACTTTCATAGACAATAAACAGTTTATACGTGTACGTATTTGTTGTTTTTTTTGTAGGCATACTTTTAATTAAACAGTAGTAGTTGTGATAATAGGTACAGATAAACTCAGGCATTTTATCACAATATTATGGTTGTGTCTCAGTTTAAAACCTATCTCAGTTCAGAACCAGTCACTCAGTCCAGAAACTCAGTTGTCTCATTCCAGAACCGAGACAGGCTCCCAATTGAGGTACAACATTAACAAAATTTTTTGTTATTTTCCCTCTAAACCCGTTTTAATAAAAGCATACCTCGAAAAATCAAAGCTCAGGTACTAATAGGCATGACAAGTTGTACTAACATTGTATCATATTTAAAGTTGAAGGAGATTGATACTTTTGTCCAGGAAATGCGTATATAACAAAAGTTTTCTAACGTGCAATTTGTTAGAAAGAACAGTACTACCGCATGGAAATTTCTCGCACGGAAAGCACCGTTTGTATTTAATTTTTACGACCAGACGTCATATATGAATCTGCGGTAGACTCCATCTTCTTTTTACACGTGCAATAGTGGACGCACAGCCGATTTACTGGCATAAATCGGTTGACACCGTAATGTAAACGTAGTGCTATATCAATTATATTTCCACAAATACATGTCTTCTTTCCGTCAACAAGAACAGCGCGTGAGAAGGGGTTTGCTGCTAAGGAGTTGGTAATATTTCTCTTCTTCTTTAAAAAAACAAGTTCTTATTATTACTAATAGTTAAAGCTAAAAGGTTCTGCGACCAATTGTTGAACAAAGTAGAAACCTCTAAGTTGTTATAATTTGATTTTCTGTCATATTGGGTCGTTCAAAGCACATTTTGTCTTTCAGGGTAGCACTTACAGATTTGATACAGTGTCTCATTACTATTACGCAACTGTTTATAACGGCATTAACCGAAGACCTCGTGGAAAACTCTACCGAAAAAAGTTAATTGGATCAGCGGCGCTTTTATATGGTCCGAATACTTTCTCGTCATGTGAATATTATGCAAGGGTTTTAGGCTTTCAGCGAATGGATAAAAGATATCCCTCTTTCCCCCTCCTCTCCATAGCTGAATTTGAATATAAAATCTGCAAGGGGTACAAGTATCGATAAATTAGTTTCTACAGAAATAAACTAGTCTTTACTGAGAATGAAACCATATTTGGCTCTTACGAAATATTGAGACGAGTGAACCATCATAATGGTGAACACAGAAATTGTATCAATTTGCGTTTGCACCACTCATCGTTCCGTTCGCTATCGGAAGTTATTAGATTGTTATGAAACAATGAAGAAGACAAAACTTTTGACGTTAAATGTGGTTATTATCGCAAAGAATAATATTCAATCGGAATGCGTCCGAATGATATTGTGTTTTTCAAAAAGTGAAGAAGCATTCGAACTGTGAGACAACGATTTATAAGAGATATACCACAGAAAGTCAAGCGTTTATTAAAAGACGAGATTGGGAACCTGTAAATATTGTCAATGCATAATATTGTCCGTCTCGTACACTTCGGGGGAAGTAGTCGGATGTCCCAACCCCAAACAAACCAAGGAAATATTGACCTAAAGAGGTGAAATAAAGAAGGGACACAAAATTGTATTTGCCCTGTTTTAAAACTGACAATGTTAAACAATCGTAAACTATTATCATCACCAATCAATAAAGCGGTCATATTAACGATAATGACGTTATTCTTCTTTTGCCCAGACTTTTCAACAAAGAATACAGTGTTACAATAGGTTCACACGCAATCGCGGATCATGCTCGTGCCTGATCTGCCGGTCTACAATTTGTAATGGTAAATAATGGTCAGTGAGCTTAATTATGGTCTAGCACTACGTCATACAACATATCAGATTGTATCGATTATCCACTACTAATACTCAATGTTTATTGTAACATGTGTTCGGTTTATTAATTATCTTTTTCCTTCCAGGGCGAAAACACTTGCGGTAACATTAGTAATCAAGTTTGCTTCAATTATCCAATAGAGAAATGTGAATGGGAAAGAGAACATTATATGGGGGTTGTGCTCCTTTTGCTGGGTCTAGATTCTTGGTAAACGAGTCGCCAATAGCTAGAGTGTAGTGTCAGAAACACTGAAATGTGTTTGTCACAGCGCAGGATATGAATTTCTTAAAATACATCTTTAATGCATATTAATAACCATTATTACAGGCCTTTCGCTTTTCCCATTGTAGGAAATGAGGTCATTCGGAAAGTTTGTTTGTACATTATGTATTGTACGTTATTATGGAACGAATGACTGGCAGTTAAACTTTTAACCAGCCACAGCAGTAGCCACTGCTTTCACGATGAGTTCATTGTAAGAACAGAGACTCGTACCGCATAACTTGGTGCGTCATAGATCATTGATCGATATATAAGTGATTTCCAAAAAAAAAAGTTGTAAAACGTTACGGTCGTACGTTTTCAAAGGGGTTCAGGAGCTATTACTATAGTTTTATTTTTCTATTTTCGCCATGCAGAGAGCATTTGAATGCGTAAGATGAATTGTCTATATCCACAGACGATTGGTTGGTTGGTTATGTGGGCTATTCAACCCTTTTTAATCTTATTTTTATATCTAATTTTTTTCTGCATTTGATAAAACCTCCAATAGCAATACTATGTAATGTAAGTAATCGGCACAAATCCCTATTAGTTTTACCTCATTTATTATTTTATCATACTCTTTCGAAAGATGAACTAATAACATTGCAATTATTCTTGTAAAGACCTATTTCTGATTTCTATTCTTAAAAATATTGTTCTATCCGGTAGGTACATCAATCTATCATGAAACATGACTCTGCACAATAAATTAAATACATAGAATTGAGAGCACATAAACCCAAAACGGTTGTTTTGAGATATACATAACCCATTCATCATAACCGTTTGTTATGTCAACCCAAATATATAACTATGACTATGTCGATATTTCATATCAAAAACATTTCCCTCTTCCAACGCTAATGCTCTGAATATCCTCTCCCTTCCCCTAACTCTTAACATATAATGTACTCCTGGACGCACGTCCCTTTTCTCGAGGGTAGGCAATCGAAAAATTTCCGAACATGCCACGAGACGATCGGAATGGTTGGCCAAGATTTGCATCAAAAGACTTGCATAGCATGACAAAAAAGTCATAAATACAATTGTTGACGCCAATGCATATATGCATCCTAAACAGAACAAAGGAATAACAATTAATTGGAACTAAGAATACATTTATGTGTGTATATAGCCCGGAGATACGAGGCCGATGATATGTAAGCATGTATGGTCGGGGAGTACAAATTAGTAGTATTAAATATGCAAGAACTAGTAATATTCTCCAGTGTTGAATAGAAAGTGAGAGTGGAAAAAACACATAGACTATTAATAGCCGTTTATCATAACTTAATAACCAAGAATAGAATTAATACGTTCATTCGAACGCTTTCTATTTTTTTTTCATGCCACCAGAAGTGGCCAAGAGACAATTACGAAATATATTTGGAATCGAGGATTATTATTATTGTTCAGGGAAGCGTAGTAGGTCATGTTTTATGATCCATATAAATATCCTCGCCGCAGTTTATGTAACACATAAAGGTCAATCATCAACGGCAAATTCCAAGTATAGTATTTGAAGATATTTTACACTGACCTTTCACCCTATTTGAATCACTGTTGCGGATTTTCCCCCTCCGATCTGTCGATCGTAATCTTTACCCAATAACAAGATTATTAACTATCATTACGCTGCAAGGTAAATCCACATTGACATTAATGAAATAGATATTAGATCTTGATGTTTTCAAACTCCGATAACAATAATGTGACGTCATATTAATTCTAGAAAGTTGACATAATAATCCAAGTCATATCAAGTCCGAAACAATTATACGTTGTGCATGTAATATAATTCTGTGTATATACATACTGTATATAAATATGAGTAATTGACTATTATAGACGTTCACACTTTACTATAGTTAAATGTATTACGTTATGTTGTGTTGTAATACCTGAAATTATATAAAGATGAGAGGGGGTAGACCGAGAAAAATTTATCCTTCATATATCGACATTCACTTCACTTTCAAATTCATACGATGTCGAACCGCGTCAATCTTGAATTAGTGGACTCTTACATCTCTCTTTTGAATAGGAATCACATATTTCCTCCTCATATTAATAATCCAAAAGAGCTGGTCCCTGATGTCACTGGTAACCGAAGGCCGCCTCGTCCACTCAATTCATTTTTAATATTAAGAAAAAACGTTGCAGAAGAAATTCGCCGGTTTATTGACCGTCCTAACATGCGTGTAATCAGCAAAGTGAGCTCAGTTTTGTGGTCAGCGTCTACAAAAGAAGAAAAAGACATTTATTATCGTTTGGCGCAAGACGTCAACAAATTACATGCTATCAAATATCCAAACTTTCGTTATACTCTACCAAGAAGGCAACTCTCCTTTCGACCTTATCCTAATCCAACTCCTTTGCCCTTGCCAGAGAGTGAATTTATACCAAGACCATCATCTACACCAACTTTTGTGCCGGTCGGAATTACGCGTGAGCTGATGACACCTCCTCCCTCCCCACCAAATGCGCTTGTACCATCTGGAGAACTACCCACTGATTATATTCCTGTAAATCTTTTTGAACCAGAAACCTTTACAATTATGGGTTTGGATGGTAAATTATATCAATGTGTTCCCGTAAACATTACTCAAATGTATTGAAGGAAATACACCATCGGAATAGAATTCACCACAGGTTATTAACTTTCATCCATTATCACTTAATAATCACCCTCGTTTTCTACTCACCAGTTATAACAGATAGAATTATTAGTACTTACTCTCTTTCTTTGTTTAATTCTAACATTTTCATTGCTGTCTATAGATATTTTCGTCTTCGTAATGTCAGGGAACCACGCATCAACACTTATATTTTTATAATTCACTTGCGTAGAGGTTTCGGTTGTTTTTTTCTCCTACGTTTAAGCTTTCTTTCTATGTTAAGGGTTTTTTTATGATTTTATGAGAATGGGGGATGGGTAATATTCTGTTGTTTGGACAAGGATTATAATGTCGTCAAAAATTATCGTTAAACTAGTTCAAAATGAAAGACGTAAATATTGCAGACGTAAATATTGTATACGTACATTAGCCTACTCTTCGACTATGAAATGTAGATATCTAAATAAATTTAAACGCAATTTTTGATATACTGGACATACATGTTAGTATTGACCAATCACATTAAACATTCACCCACATTTTAAACTATCTGTATCTCGAACACATGGGTAATCATTATTACTAAAGATTGTTTTTATAGTTGCTGTTATTGGTTATTAAATCATGACAATTTTAAACCAATTAAACTTACTTGTATCATAATTATTTGACACTTGGCAAGAGCGTTGGGTCGAGATTGACGCAAAGCAAGTATGCAAGAGAAAATTCAAGTCACTGTAGGTAAGCAGATGAGTGAAGAAACAGGCTGACAAGAAGGAAAGAACTGCTTCCGAACACTCTCACTAACGTCATCTCTTCACAATATAGTCGAGGGTAATAATTTGAAAGGCAGCGATGTAATTGGTATGTATGCTTGAAATATCAGTTGAGCAAACCTCTATTTAAACTGACCGCTGAAGAACAATATCATCACTCTTATAGGCAAGTCTGACCCTTATGTATGCTTGTCGCTCGATAGACAGAATAGACAGAGAACTCGTACTCTTCAAGGTGCTGGACAGAATGCTTACTGGAATCAATCTATAGAACTGTAAGTCAATTGTCAGGGTTGCATATATGGGAACATTTATCTATGTGATTTGAACGCCACGAATGTCATTTTGTCACTTCATCGATACTGATCCATTTTCTATCGATCGCCAGTTATGCCAACCCTGGACAAAATCAACTCTTTATCGAAGTGTACAACGAAAACATTGGAGTCGATCAGTTCATTGGTAATATACAAGGTTTGATCTTCAGTTGATCTTTGACTAGTGTGTTAACGTCTAGTCTCTTGCTCTCCACGATTGCAGGCGACGCAATATTACAACTGCCTCAGGCACCTCACCAAGACCAATGGGTTCAAATTCATCATAATGGAAGTCCCGCTGGTAATATTCATTTGATCATCAACAAGGTACGGAAGGGAGCATCAAGCGAGATGTCGTATACTACGAGTTGGACATGACAATAACAACGCATGGCGCGTGTTTTCTCTCCACGTCAATTTTTTTAGAGTCAAGGACATGGCTACCAAACTCCTATTCAACAACCTCAAGCATATCCATCGTATCCTTCATACGGTGAACAACCACCACGATACGACGGACCTCCAGCTGGATTTCCATATCAACCTCCTGCTGCTGGACATGGATCAGCTCCTCCACCGCCAGTACCGGCAGGTCCACCTGGATACGGGCAACCGCCATCAGCACCACTTGGGTTCGCGCAACCACCACCAGCAGCACCTGGATACGGGCAACCGCCGCCAGCACCGCTTGGATTTGCGCAACCGCCACAAGGACCACCTGGGTACGCGCAGCCACCAGCACCATCAGGATATCCGAACCCTTATATGCCGCAGGGAGTTATTGGACACGATGCTCATTCGAAAGACAAAAAGGACAAGGGAAGTCATGCTGCTGCTGGGCATGCCCAACCACCATCGGGGTATCCGAACCCTTATATGCCGCAGGGAGTTGTTGGACACGATGCGCATTCGAAAGACAAAAAGGACAAGAAGGGGAGTCATGCTGTTGCTGGGCATGCCCAACCACCATCGGGGTATCCGAACCCTTATATGCCGCAGGGAGTTGTTGGACACGATGCTCATTCGAAGGACAATAGTCATGCTGCTGCTGGGCATGCACAACCACACCCACCACCACCGGGATATTCTGCTTATGGTGAGGCAGCTTCATATATGGGCGGGCAAGCTCAGGGTGGGTATGGGCATGGTGCAGTGACTGGGCATGGTGCAGTGACTGGGCATGGTGCAGTGACTGGACACGATCCTCATGCGAAGAATAGCCATGAGAAAGACAAACACAAGGACAAAGATAAACATAAGGACAAGGATAAGCATAAGGGAGATAAACATAAAGGCGACAAGGAGAAGGATAAACATAAAGACAAGAAGAAGGATAAGAAGAAATAGTTTATCTTTTGAGTATGGATCCATACACGTATTAAATTTGCAATCATTATTTATTAAACAGATTCATAGCTAGCAGAATTATTTAATAAATTTAATAGTCCCAGTAATTATTAAACGAGACCTCTACTCGAATGATTTATTGAGAATAAAAGAGTTGACTATAAGCCCCATTCTCCTTTTACAAGGATCGTGGGTAATTGCGAAACAACTGCTGACCTTCTCGTTCGTTGATTGTATTTACTTGACAAATTCTGATAAAGCTTACCAAATACGCGTCTAATTTAACCGAAATTGGCAAATGTGTCACTCTAGATGATTCTGCCTTGCTAAATTTCAATGTATCTCATAAAATTTATAAGTCGTTGTAAAATTCTTCTAAACTTTTTTTAACAGACTCGTACATAATAACTGTCCACCTCATTGTGCTCCCAAAATTGGACTTGCATGAATGCAAGGGCTTTGACCAATAGAAGATGCAGCCGCAACAATCCGAGAAACATGCATATGTAACACAAGCACTATGTGGCGTATTTTTTCGCGATTGTTAAGAAGAATGATAGTTCGAGGCATAAGGATTAATTATTACATTTTATTAAATTATAAATCCACATAAATATTTATTAACTTTTAGCAATACGCTTCGGGTACGTCACCCTGAAAATAGACAAGGAACTGCTATCATTCATATGACCAACCAGGATAGAGTCTGTGTAAACTGTTTGTTTATTGTTTCAGTCGGGTTAGCACAACGAATCGAACAATCTTGACTATTACAGATAATACGTTGACAGCAAACCAAAATAAAGTTACATCAGAATTTCTACGATATGAAGTATGACATATCATGCGTTGTTATCGATTATCGGAGTTGTTGGTCGGTTATGGTATTTTTCATAAAAAATATTATTTCTTTTTGCATAGAATTCAAGTCGTGAACGCATCCACTACGACTATAATTACTCTACTAAGGTAAACAATAAACATGCGTGTGATGTACATTGGCGTAAAATTAAGTTTCGTTTTTTTTTATGTTTATAGAAGGTGTTGAACTTATTGGTAATTGAGGAAGAACAAGTAACCGAAAACAAACATGCCGTAGTAATATATTTAATGTATATACCGGTATAATTATTTTACATGATTATAGAAAAGTACATCAAATCTGGGTAATAAAAAGACAAGCAAACAAGATACATTCACAGCCACAGCTTGATAATAACTTACACAAGCCATTGTGCAGTTTAACTTTTACAACAGTTTGTTTATGTAACCAATAATGATTATTGATAACAAGCCATATTATCATCCGTTGTGCAATCTTATCTGCATAGATCATAACTCTGTGACGTATTTATGAATGCACATATCACAACATATCAGTTATCGTCATTGTTGATTAGTTATAACTACGATAAACGTTAACCATCGGATAATCAGTACTGATTTAAATATAACACAACTTTTGTCTTGAGCCGATATCTACATTTTTAAACCGGTTGCGTTCATTCACCGGTGTAACAATACTTGCATATCAGGTTGTACAATCAAAGGCGCAACCCAAATTGAATCAGAATAATTTAGTAATGTATGAATGAGCATCCCCAATGTAACAATTAGTATTATTGCTAGCGAAAGCATCTGAGCAAACCCATAGAACTATCCAACAGGTTTCCCCCCTTTTCCCCCCTGAGAGTCTATCATACTGCTGGGGAAATTAATATAGCTAAAACTATCACATATGACGTAACGAAATCATTTCGGTATAGCGTTGTAACCGTTAAACTTATCACATACAGATAAAGAAATCACTTTAGGGATCAATCTCCGCAGCCGTTTATTCTCCATATCCATTCTGTCCGTTGACAAAACCATTCTTGTAAATTAGAGTTTAACTGATCGGTCGTTACATGATATTATTAATTGTATGCGGCTCAATGTTTTAAAGAGAACAGGAAGAACAGAGATAACAAACTGCGTCGTTTCCTGTTATGGAAAGTAAATAACAAGTAAGTATTCATAGATAAACGTCTGATCAGTTGATACGTGCGGAAAAAAGAGAATCTTGATCAGTGGTGAATGTCCACTCATACTAGATGACACAGATGCACAAACCTTGTACAGTTTCCAAAATCAAATACCTGCGCATATTTGATATTAATCTGTCCTATTAAAATGATTGCATTGCGAAATCCGGTTTATGTGGTAATAATAATAGCAAAAGAAAAAAAAAACTTTTTCGCTGAAACGTTTCATGACATTTGAGGCGGCATTGCATGTTTCCGTTAGATCCAATCATATACGTGATACACACGGAAAGAGAATGCATCATTCACAATCATATTTATTACAGGTTTCTTTCTACGATGTATGATCTACATAATATTTACATCATCTTCTGAGAATGCTGCAATTATTCTATATTAATTGCCCGATACGGTAATCAAAGTAGATTAAAAAAACGCGTATATTTATTCAACGGGGTTGCAAGGCCGGCTGCTTTGTAATTGGTTTATAAAAAAATTGAGACATAAATACTAGTGTCCACTGTCTGGATAACAGCACCGTACAGCACACTCCCTGTTTGTACAATATCACGCAAAAGGTTTACGGTTTATTATTATTATATATTTAATTAATAGAAATAATTTAAACCTACATAATTTTTGTAATTGTAACATAATATATCAGCAACTAACAGCGCTTTGAACCTTGTTTTACTTTTTCGCCTCGATACAGACTCTTATTCTCTTATATGGTTTCTTACGCGTAATTGTTTCTTCTTCTCTTCCAACTCTGATCAAAAAAGATTGATAATTGTAGCAGAAATTCACTTATGCTTGGTAGGTTTTTTTGATGCTTTTGGTGTAATGGTTAGAAAAATTATTATTTCGGAATGAACAGTTTCTATCAAAAGTAATGTTTAAGGTATTTGCAAAGTTGGTAAATTTATGCAAATATTTACTAATAAAACCATATTTTTAATGTTAAATCTGCCACAAGCCAAGAGATACAGAATCTGCAAGCCCAGTTGGCGCCGACCATCTAGAGCTCATTAAAAACAGGGGTGTGCGGGGCGCAAGGCAGAACATACTCACCTTAGAGTTTACAAGAACTAAAATAACCCTATATGGTAATGCGAACTGCACAATCCCACGTGTCCAAAAAGTATTCATACTAATTCCATCGCCGGTGGAAAACTACCGTATACTGCCGTGAATAAGCACCCACCCCTCAGAATCTGGTCATGTATATGAGTAAAAGAGGAACAAGACATTACTTTGGTAGTGTTGGAACAGAACAGTGTAAGGGTTTTATGTGCCTTATTAACAATTTTGTTCATTAAATCTAAGCCAAAGTAGTGTTTTTATATAAATAGCTTTAGTTTAGAAACTTTTTCAAATAATTCGGTAAAATTTAATGTTGGTTTTCAACAGAGAAGTTTTAACACGCTTGACTGCTTCTCTACTCTAAAGGTTAATGTTTTGGAAGCTAAATTTTGGGTAAGCAGTAAACTACTGTCATTAAGATAGCTTTTAATAATTGTTTTATATATTTGGACAGTTTTAGCAATTATTTTTTGCTACTTATTCTAGAGATGTCAAATTTAAAATTCTAAAAAATAGTTTATATGGTTTAATGCTGGCTTGCAATTACCATACAAACACGCATTTTCCAAAATTATAATAGTAATGCGCTGGCGTTTAATGCCTTGCATCAATTCTGCAAACATTTTTGCCTAATTTTTACAAATTTTCGAGTAATATAACATTGGGCGCTTTTGCATTTGGTTAATGGTGTAGTAGAGTTTAGATTTTAATAACTTTTATCTATGTTTTTCTTAATTCTTCTTGTGTCTTTTTATAGAATACAAAGTGTTCCCAAAAATGAATGGCATTGAATTGATATAGATCAAACGAAAGGGCATGATCAACCGATCACTATGGGAGGTAATGATTATATTTCGCCGACAGGTCATTTTATCGACAATCATTTCACCGACAGTCACTTTACAGACAATGATTTGCTTGTCGGTGAACTGGCCAGTTTTTTTTTATTCTACACTTCAACCATCTCAGACTTTATCTTAAAATTTCATAATGCTTGACGATATTTATTTTTTATGGCTTTCATCAGACTGAACTGAAACACTTATCGGTGATTGATTTTCGGGAAAACCATCGTAAAATGTAAATTTCCGGTTTGTATATGTAATGCCCGTTTGAGGACCATGGATGAGATGTAAATACGGGTTTTACATGACATTTACATACGACAAAAGCAAGAATTGATTGCCTAATTCTAGCCTAACGCAATCCATGAAGGAAGAGAACGTTGTAATGAAGGTCAAAGTCATGCCCATGTCCCTGTTCGGCCGCAACAAATTTAGCATCAAACCCAAGACACCTTAGTTGACCCCACTAAACGGCGGTGATTACGGAAATCATAGTCTAATACATGACGAATTATCCGCAAAATCGAGAGATGATTAAGTATGCGAAAGATACATCTGAGATAATGATCGTGTTAATGCTCTTGAAGACACACGAAAAAGATATTCTAATGTCTAAGAAGAATATGTTTGAAGGTATTGTTGAGCAATCCAGAGAAATGTGTGTGAGTTTGAAGGACAGAATATACAAAGCGGAAAATCAATGCAGATGACTAATAATAATAATAAGACTTCAACGTAAAGAAAAAGTAAAATGCTCGACAAAAGATGTGCTTCTGACAGGCATACACTAACAGCAAGCATTGAATCAACAACAAACCCAAGAGGATTATTCTAAGTATTTAGAAATTCAGCTGACCGTTCAGCAGAAAAGATGTGTGGAATTGAATGACAAATGGAATAGCGCGGAAAATCAAAGCAGAATGCACAAAATTTATCTCAATGAAACTAGGAAAAGTCTCGAAGAGACTAAAAAGAGTCTCAACGAAGCTAGAGAAAGTCTCAATAAGTCCAACATAAAAGAAGAGGTGGCAGAGTATCATAGAGACAATGAAGAGATTAGAGAGCTTCGTCGGCAATATAAAACAATGGAAGAAAGGTACGTTAAACAGATGCAAATTAACGAAACAAACCAACGAATTATTGATCAGTACAAGTCTAAATCCGACGGTAATGATGAAGTTCTGTCGTTACGCCAGCAGAATCGTGCATTGAGCAAAGCACTTGCACACAACATGTGCGATATGCAAAGGCTTAATAATGAACTCGAAGAAATGCAGCAAAAATATAAAGATGCCGAAGCTAGAGCAGCTGAATTGCAGAAGAAGAACGATCTATTAAAGGAAGAAAGCATCAAATATCAAGAAGCTGTGGGCGATACCACTAAAGAATTTTCAGCTGGACCTAGTCGCAATGATCCCCTGACTGAACTCGAGATGGAGATCAGAGATTTGCGCATTCAGAAAGCTGAGTTGGATACACAACTCCGCGAAACACGAGACAATTTTAATCTTGAATCTCAACATTTACAGTTAGAAAAGGACGTTGTGAAATTGCAAAACAATTTATACGATTTTACTCAAGTAAAAGGTAGACACGTTGCTTTCAATGAACAAGGGATTTCTGCACTGTTGAAGAGTTATGGATGTCAACTTGATCCTACATCGAAGTTAATAGTTAGCAGTGCGCTACAAAGATATACTATTGAGAAAGTAGTTAAACGTACAAAAATACATTTCGACACGTGTATCGGGGATTTGGGTAACCGGTACACCAAGACTGATTTAAACTATTTCTTGGAAGGATTGATCTTGAATACGGCAGCCAGTTTGAAACAGTATATAAAAGACTTTGTTGAGATGCGCAAAGGAGAGGATGAATTGACTCGCATGGCGGGAGTGAAGATATCTCAACACGTATATACCGTACTTAGAAATCATGGTTTTGCGCAGGCCGATCATCCAGTTCTAGTAAACGAAGTCACGCTTGTATTGAGTGAGCTCGAAAAATGCCGTCAGATTAAGGACGAATCGAAAAGGAAATATATTGAAGAATTAGCTCCTTCCATCGTCCTTGAGATAATTCGTCTATTTTGTTTTAGATTCCAGACTCAAATCCCTGCTGTTGAGTATCACTTTTTCGAAAGTGGAGCCAAATTCGATTCTGTTACAATGGAATGCAGTCTAGTTGAGGATGGAGAGGGTGAAAATCAAATTGTTGAGATATGTTCGTTCCCGCTGATCGGTGTGAATATTTTGGATGAGCAAAAGAGGCAGATCTTTAGCAAAGCGCAAGTTCAACTGAGACCCTCGGGTTGGTATAAAAAAAAGTGATACATTAATTGTGAGATGTGTTATATTGTACACGTGATCGTCACTATCACTTTCATAACTCCAAGATTATTTTGTGCATGAGCATTTCCCCTGCTTCAATAATTATTATGTCTGCCGTTTATTGTGTTACTCTGATTTGGCCATTGTTGCCGCCGCTATTGAACTTTAGACTAATACTATCGGCAGGATTTTTTTGGTCCATTCATTTTTTCCTGGAATTTTCAGCAAAAATCGTGACACGTATAATACATTCGGATCGGTGTCACGTTATTTATTGCATACGCTATCTGGGCAAAGTATCATTGCTTTAAAGTGTAATAACGGGCTTATGAAACGCGGATATAATTTTACGCGTTATTTACATTATTTCTTTGTAACAGTATAATAATAGAAATCGGTGTTTTAATCTTTCACTTGAAAATGCCCGACTTTTGAAGTGAAAAATGAGCTCATCGGCTTCCGTAGAGCAATAGTAATACGAACAATTCAAAATTTCTCAAACTTAAAACTTTTCTCGTATTCCGGCATACCTACTGATTGGTAAAGAAAAGAATTGTCTGAATTGGTGTATTGAAAGAAAGGAATTCGTCTATTCGAAAGTAGTCACTTGGAGTGACAAGTCGCTTCATAGTATTCAAGAATGATGATCCAGGTCGTGTTTAAAAAAATCCATTGGTAAAACGGAAAGAAAAATGGATTATTGCAAAGACTTGAAACCCATTTATTACCATTAAACAGTGGTGGTACCCCCCATTCCTACTAACGATGTTTTGAAGAATGTATTGTGAGTAAGGGCTGGCCAACAAAGTGTTAGTCTTATACAGAGCATAGATTAATGTTGCGACCCCGTTCTGAAAACGGTCAAGATTGTCACAAAATTTTGTGCACTTTATTGGTGCAAGAGATTATTCTAATGTGACAATCCCGAAACGGGTCAAATCCCAGAATGGGTCATAACATTTATAAGAAGCTAGACTATAGTATACAAAAATTTTAGTTTCAATTACAGTATTATGCATGCTTTTGAACAATTAATACTTTAGGGTTCCAGTACTTTTGTCCAGGTAATGTATTTTGTTAAAGGGTACTTCTAAACATACTTTATTTCAGAAACACACGAAACCAGAACATTAGCTGTTACTGAATGACAACTTTGACCACACCATGGTATCCACCCTCTTTCGTAAACACTGCATTGAACAGTCTGTCGGACAACTACATTGCTACTAACTAGCGCCACTTCAGTGAAATAGCCAACTTATGAAAGTCTGCTAGTGCTATCTCAAGGGTCACGCTGCTTGATAGCATACATCCAGCGTACTTAAGTATACCCAAGTCTATATAGATTGTCTCTTACAATTTCCACGGTAAAAACTTTCTACCAAGTCAAATCCTAGAATTCGTGGCCTAACTGCATCACCTATGTCAAATGACAACCATTTTTCCATCTTCGATATTTTTGGCGAATAACGTCATGCTGTGTACTCATCTATGATCACGGGTCAGTGTTCTGGTTGTCGAATATCATCACATTCTGCAACCTGCACACTTTCTTAAAACGTTTAATTCTGCTTTGACGAATTATCCCATTTTTAATTTTCCTCATCGATTAACTTAATTCGCTATTTTAATTTCCGAGTCATCCAGAATTCGGACACCGTATGATTTGAACGCCGTATATTATTGGGAAATGTTTATGCATCAGGATTTCTTACGGTTTCTGGGGTTCAAAGCAAGCCCTGATGCGATGATTAGGTGATTAATTATTCATCAAATTTAGCACGAGCGATAACGATCCAGTGAAAAGTTTACTATATTGTTACACAAAATCGATTACTTATTTATTTAGATTTTTCTCGTGGATAGCAGCAACATGACAACAGCAACTGTGGAAATAAATAATACTTGTCATCTTGTCAAGTTCCGTCGTTTTATATTGTGAACAAAATGTTTAATTAGCGAGCAATGGTTGTTCAAAGTTGCATGTTTTTTAAAAACTTACATAATAAGAACAATAAAATCAAAACAAATGCATCAAATTGATCGAGAATGCATAATAATCTGGTAAACAACACAGAGTTTATGAGACAGTAACAATTTTACTATTCTGTAATACGGGTAATGCATGGGAAATCGTTTCCCCTTTTGGTAAAGAATGTGATCTCATAGCTAGCCATCTCTTACCCTGTCTGGATAAGTGTTTGTTTACCAGACATTTATTAATATTAATGCGTTTGTCTTGATTCCGTTTAAGAAAACAGAAACAAAGACAAAAAAGCGTTCAATAACTATAACCAGAATGATAGAGCTTAACAAGATGTACAAATGAAACAAATGACCGTGTAATGAGGTGCCCTCGGTCGAAGTATTAGTATGTATGACATATATTACCGAAAATCTGCAACATTTGACTGGTCAATGGTGTGTGTGCAATTTACAGTTTTTCATCTCAGCTCGTCAAATCTTGTGTAACTATAGGATAATAGGTACTTCTAGGTGGCCATATATGTGAACAAAAGAATAGTAGATGTAACATTACATTATTTAAATTCATCTTGAGTACTCGCCATTGGGAATGTGTGTTAACTTCCCTATCTTTTTTACACCAAGGCAAACACTACGACGAAAGGCGGTGACCGTAGCCCGCCGTAGATAAAGGCGAAAACATTTCACTCCTTCCTCTCTCTCCTCCTCCTCCCTCCTCCTCCTTTTTTCCTGGGATTTGAGCTTTAGCTACTTAGTCGCCGAGCGACCCTTTACCCAACACCGTCATACCTACCGTCTCTTTCTCTCTCTCTTCGTCGCCTCTCATCTCTCTCCACTCCTGTACGGGTTGCAACCTCTCAACTCCCTTCCTGCTTTCGCCCTTTTTCTACTTGCTCTTTTCTCCAACCTACACGCTTCAAATACTCTCTTTTCTCTTTACTGTCATAAAACATGTTTTCTACTCTCGTCTACCTCCACATATTTCTTGTATCTTTGCTTGTCTCTCTGACAACTGCCTGCGATACCGCCTGTCGAACAGAGCTTGGTCTTTCTTTTGTGGACATATACGCCTCGGAATCGCATGCTCTATTCGGACTGTTTGCTCAGAATCTTACGTCTCGCATACTCGACGGTGTGAATGTGAACAAAATCTCTCTTGGCAAAGGCAGTAAACTCCGTAACGAAATAATTGATAATGTCCGCGAGACTGTTTCGCAATTGGACAAGTCCTTTGCTGAGACTATTCCTGGTCTAGTTGAAGACGCAATATTTAACCAATCGCCTGAATTCCGTGGAGATTGCTCGGTTCCCGTAGAAACAAAGTCATCTCAATTCAGCGTTCACAAAAAAGATGCTTGCATGATGGTCGAGGAAGTGTGTGGGAGTGCATTGTCGATTTGCCGTCATTTGGATCTTGTGAAAGAGCGAACTGTAAAGACCATCGTTAATGCATTAGATAATGACACGACGGGAGAATTTTATACAGTAATCTCTCACACTATATCCCGTATTGCTGCAGAATGGAGGCTTGGCGTTGCTCAGCGAAAGGCTTTGATGTCCAAGTCAAATGCCAACTTGAAAATGCTGTTGGCCATTTTCAGTGAGCATTACAAAAATGGATTCTGCAGCGATTCGAATTGCGATCAATATGACGACAAGATTGTAGAATTGCTTCTCAGTTACGTCTAGAAAAGGAGCATATCATGTAAAAAAAGTCGTGTTTGTATCTATACAATTGACTAGGTGAAATTTTATCTAATGTCATATCCCTAGATTAATAATTTAATACAGAATAGAGAGTACATTCTATTCCTTCGCCTCCATCCTCACTCTACTATTCTCTTTCCTTTACCCAGTCTTTTCTGTCTATAATATATATAGAATTTCCCCTTGGTGTACGTGTCCATATAACACAGTATTTCCATTCATTCCTGTATCATCTTCATTCGCTCTCTTGTAACATTTAACTTTTTCTATTAATCCGCTCTTAATAAAACTGAGCATCTGGCGTGCTTAACATTTGGAATCAATCTTGGCATCCGTTTCTATCGGACAAGGCCGTCCGAATTGATACTTGAATGTAGCGCAAATATACTTTGCAATATCAACAAATCGTGAGTTTATTTGTTATACAGTGAAACGTAAGTCTGTGTCTCAGATTTACAACGTTTCGCGCCAGGAAAAAAAATAACCTCTCTACTCTTACAACGATCAATGTCGAAACAGAAGCTAAGAGTGAGCGTTTGATTTATGTTGCTTATAAAAGTCGATATCTATAAGGAATTTCTCTAAGTAGAAGTGACACTCATCTCCAAAAGAGCCAGAGGAATTGCTCAAAATGAAATAACAAAAAAAAACAACTTATCTATGACGACTTGTTGCTAATAACGTGTGTTGACATCTTAGTGAAAGAGATTAACTGAACTCTAATAGCCACCAATAATCGACTTGTCGTATTTATTACTATTATGGATTTTAATACAGAGAGAAAATAAATTATTGACTCTTAGCTCTATTAGACTGAATTATGATACATAGAATGTGTGCGAATGTGGGAATGTCCTCGCTGATTCATATGACGTTGGGTATACTTTGATGGGAATTAAACAGTCAAATGTCTCTACGCTCACATCCGGCACAGCCTGTAAGTACAAATGTCGCTCGTCCGTGTTTAGTGAAAGAAGTGGAGAGGCATTCTTATCGCCTGTGATAAATTCAAGTCGCAATCCCCAATGGAGTTTGACTATAAGGACGCGGATAGACAGAGAGAAAAAATAGGGAGAAAGAAAAGATAAAATATTAATATATTACAACATACAAGCATAAAGGCAAATTGCGGTTTATCCTATCAATATACGATAAGCAGTGGGTCTACTTCAATCAGACGCTCTAATTACCTGCCGTTGTAGTGAAATCCGGTGTACCGTTTGTTGGTATTGGGATGGCAAAACTTATTCTTCGTGTATAGAGACAAAACTCGTGATGTTCTCCATGTACTTTACGTGCTAATTTGTTTATATGATGCTGAGGACGAGCGGCGATGCTTGCTTCTATTTGTTCATTACTTTCTAGTGTAATAGAGACCTAGAAACAATAAAAGTATGTGTGAACATGCGAGTAAAACACGTGACATTATTTTGCGGACAATTGAGAAACATTCCCAACCTGATAGCTTTGTATTAAGGCATCGTTGAAATTTATTACTCCCGTAACAACATCTCCTAGTTGATATAGTGTCTTCAGTAAACACAGTTGAGCAACACGGGCATTGTTCTTGCATATATCGTATGTAGCTATTAAGGATAAAGAATAATCAACAGGTTCAATATGCAATAGTAATAACAAATTGAATCCGCATTTCAATCCTAACCATAAACGGCGTCTTCTTACTCCCCTGTGCATGTTACTAACCTTTTCGCATATTTTTTGATAAAATAGCTACCGTATTCGTACACGATTTCAATTCTCGTTCAACATGTACAAATGAATCGCTTTCTGAACGTACATTATCTTCTACATCGCCGTTTGACGTTGAATCATTTGCCAGACTTCGAACAAGCTGATCAACATATTCAACAAATTCTGCTTTACTGGTCCCTAAAATTAAAGAAAGTTAAAGTCAAATCATCGCTTATGATTATGATCAGTCGGTTTGAAGGTAGTATTTTCAACGAGTTATACTCTGTCTTATTTAGGTCGTAAAATGTTACCTTTTCTTATTACTGGCTTATTTTTCTTTGGATTATCATCAAGACAAGTAACAATAGCTTCATCCTTAGAAATGATTACTGGATTCATTAGGTCATACATTGGCCGAGCACCATCCTCTGAATAATGACAACAAAAGTGTCATGTAAGCGTACGTTTCTTTCGTGTCTCGTATTGATTGCAATCCAGTTTAACTTATTTCAATTCAACGTGTCATCCACAAGTCATTCTACTCACCAGATACATAGTTAAACACTCTGAATGGAAGATGCACGATATGTGACTGATGATTCATTCCTCCTCGATGTGTTCCTATTATCAAATTATATTGAAATTTTATAGCTTTGCCTTTATGTGTGGGAGGAAGATCCGTTGGTAATCTAGTCTCATATGAGTCTAATGGAAAAATAGATGTTAGACATGGATAAAATGGAAAAAGGTCAATGTTATAATTGCCTTAAAACACTCACATGTACGTGTCTCTCCAGGCGCCAAATGCACATCAATAAACAAGATTGATGGTGGAGTAGAAAATACTGGTATCGATTTATTATCTATTGGACATAGCAACCAAAAGCAGTCAATATTAACGTAATTATAAATGTCAAAATCCAAGCACTTTTTCTCGTTTCACCAACCTGCTCTCTCTTGCATATCTGCTAGTGTCGACTTCCCCATAGCCGTTGGTGTAAATATTCCCAGCATGCCTCCTCCAACCGCTCCTCCCATACCACCACCTGGTCCATACATATTCTTCGATTTCAACGGTTCAAACTCGTACGCCTTCATCAGCGAACCGTCTACCACAAACACGCCCACAATCTGAGCGAAACCCCATAATAATGTTTCATACTTTTGTGTCAACGATGGCGAGGAACTACATCTTGTTATTATTGATGGACGCCTGCTTTGTCGTTTGTAGTCCATCAACGAGCCATTGGCTGACCAATCGGGCGATGTCACCGAGAGGTAATCAACCGAGCTACGGGGAGAAGATTCACTGGTTTCAAGGTCAATGGAAAACGTGTCGCTTCCATCTGCTGCCTGTAGGTCGATGAAACCCAGGTCATCGTCTGTTTCGGTATCGGTTTCATAAATCATTGGTGGTGAAACTGGAATTGAGTTTTGGGTTGCTTTAGGTGCCGAGGCTGTATGCATAAACAAAGATGAAAAGATAAGCGTCAATATATTCATCTGACTGATTAGAGAAGAAAAAAAAGAAAACGACATTTACTTTCCGAATGCCCTTTCTCCGGTAACGATTGCTCTGACATGCTCTTTGATCCCGAAGGCGCATCCGCAGGCGATGCGGGCTTTGCCACAATCTCGGTCTCATCCCAATCTTCACCCGCGTCCCCGCCACCTGTTATTAGCGATGCCAACCCCGTAAACGACGCTGATCGCTTTACAAAATTTCTAAAGCCAAAAATTCCCGAATCGTTCAAGTCTCCTGCCATGTTGGTTTGGGCTGCCGGATTCTCTACAATCACCGACAAGAGGTTTCCATTCTCCTGTGTAGATTTATGAATTTTCTTCCCAGTCTTTGATTCGTTAATCGTTTTTGAATGTACGCTTGAAGATGCACGGGCATATTGATCATGGTGACGGTCGTCCGGGAAGAGTTGTTCGCCGTTGTGAAGGCGAGGTTTCGACGAGTCAGAGTCTTGCGGTACAGAAGGACTTGTTTTGGAGGCCGACGTCGGTGGAAGAGGATTTGTGAAGGAGATCGTACAGTGAAAGGTTTCTCCAGCAAAGAAAACAGCCTAAAGAATGCAAAGTTGAGTTAGAACAGAAGCAGCATTGTTCAGATCACAACAGGATAAGGAAACCCCACCTTTTGATTTATGTTTGCTGTGACGACGACAGACATTTTGTCAAGTTTGCGTTTAGACTACATTCAACGCGGGAGTCAGACGATTATTCTATTATTATTATTGAAAGATTTATAACGTCAAATAAGAAAAAGCAAATCGATTCCCTAGGATAAGCTATTCATTCCATTCACTAACTTTATATTTTCCGATTAATGCAATTGTTATTTACATTTAGGTCATTTGATTGGACAATCTAATGTGAGTTACATTATGACCGTATTTCGCCATATTTGCTGCGAGTTTTTTTTATTTCTAATAATAAGCAATGGAATAAACTGCCTGCTTTCATATCGTCACGTAGATTTAAATGCCACACTGTTAGATACTCGTTTTGTCCTGAATATGCAAATTCGCGTTATCACATGCTCATTCTACGAAAATACATTAAACAGTTGTATTGGCTATAACGATCAATAGAAAAATTGGAGTATAGAGGAATTTTGGAATATTCACGTTAAAATAATGTGGTATATTCCTCCTCTTATTTTTTGTGCAATCTGACGGTATGCTTTTCTGCTACGATCCGTGACTATTACTGTCTCGTTATCACACCGATTAACCCACTAAACACTATATTATTTTAATGTGTAACTACTATAATAATAGTATTAATATTATAATAATTAAACTTACATGCATCAAATTATAATGTATAGTGGGTAGTATAAATATGAATAACTATTGCTTCCAACAACGGGCATGCTAAGCGCAAACATCTCTAACCAGCTTCAGGGACAGATCCTTCACAAGCAGCAAAGTAACCACCAAATCAGTCCCTCAAACTCGCTCCAGCGTCCCATTGGATCCGATTACCCAGCAAACTCATCAGGGGAGAGAAGGAAAAAGAGAGTTACTTTATAACGTAAAACGACACGACACTTACCTTATGCTCACCCTAAACCTTCCTCCCGTCATCTAAAAAGCTGTGAATAAAAAAGAAAAAAAAAGAGATGTCTGGGAGTGATCCGGGCATTCACCGTGATTGCTTATCAGACCCGTGCCGGGATTCCTTCACCACAGGTGAGCACTAGTGAGTGTTGAGTAAAGGGGCGTCACCGGTGACTACCCATCCCCAATCCAGATCTGCGCCCGTCCGCCAAAAGAGACAAGGGAGAGCAACCACATAGTCAACCAATTGAAGAGCAATATTTAGTTAATACAATTATTTCTTATCTACCAACACGATGAGATGTTGTGAAGCGATGCGCAATATAGTGGATCGTTTGAGTGTATATGTGTACAAGTAGGCGTGTGTTTGATTCTTTCATCAGTTGGTGATCGATGAACCGTATCGTTAGACATTGTTCGTGAGTTATAATCAAAAGGAATTCATAAAAGAAAAAGACGCTTAGTTTTTGCAAACAAGTCGAACCGCAGAACAATTCTGTATTTCCAACTCTTCATCGAAAAAACTTCGTTAGGAGACTTGTTGGTGAGTTGTAGAGAACTGTCGTACGGAGTGCCGTAAGGATTGTTTGTGTACGCTTTGAATGAAGAGAAGTTGTGAAACTGTTCCAAGTATATACAAGTAGAGGACGAGAGACGTTGTGAAGCAGTGTCTGGGGTGCATATATTAATATATCTGTATGAGCAAGCACGTGTTGCGTGTTTAGACGACGCATGTTTGATTGGTATCAGGGTGTGAGAATCTGCATCGATATATTCATACTGTTGTAATTGTTTTCCATAAACAAGAACAATTACATCAATGTAACACATGTTGTAGAACTTTTTTCACTGGTTAAAATCTGTAATTGTTGCTGGCTTACCGATAAGCCACGCGGAATAATATTTTAATGATGATAATAATAATGTTATGCCTTTAAGTATATTTTTAAAGTCACGACTTTATGTAATACAATTATATAAAATAGTCACGTGCTGTAAAATTAAGTTAATTATTTTTGGGGCTGCTGCATATGAACAGCCAACATGTGTTATTTCCGTCATCTAACACGCGTCTGCTCATACAAGTATTTATATATCCCAGACTCTTCCAAAATGCAAATACAATGTTAAATAATACACAGCAACATGCAGAAACTTTTTTCACGTATCGCGTCTATTCCAAACTTTTGCCTGAAATAAAATATTTTTTGCTTCGTGAATAAGAAATAATTAAATAAAAATAAACGCACTGGACTACTTTAAGCAAACTGATCTGCAATTCTGGTCGTTTTTCCAACTTTGCAGATTACGAAGAATAAAACGTAGGAAGAACGTTTTACCACTGAGATTGCAATACACTTTTTTTGTCAGAAAATGTGTCTCATTATGTTAGGAATTGGCCGCGCTGTCAGAAATTACCTAAAGGCAAATGAAATAATATTGCGTGTTTATGGTAATGTAAAAAACATGTCGTGATGGAAAACCAAATATAACCATCGCTACTGCTGTGAAAAAAATGCCATGATAAAATTCATGGACTACCAAGTTTCGGTAGAAATATTAATCGTATTACTCAATCGCTTACATTCTTGTCAGATAAAACGAATTATAAATCGGTCTATTGTGATTTTACTGCAGGTCTCGAAAATGATATTACATTAAAATATGATGCATTTCACAAGTTATGACACCAATTAACCCCTTGAGACCAAGAACAGATTACGTGACATGTGCCAACATTTCCGGAACGGCCTACAGTATAATGCTCGTAAAGAAGAAGCGAAGAATTATTGATAAAACGTCTAAATTAGCGAAAAAAACTATTGTACAAAATTAGCAGAAGAACAAAGGAAAATTAGTGAATGCGCATTTTACGATGAGAGGCAAAGCTGTTTATTGTAGCATTGACGTTACGATTGAGCATAAAATGTTCATGTAAGAGATGAACTACGTCATCGGCAAAAGCCTTAATGACACGCTGAACATGGTATTCGACGAAGTTAAATATTGCATAAAGGCGGAAAGATTACTTGTGATAATGCAAAAGCATAGAATTAAATTTCAGCATACTAAATTCAAGGCCAAATTGTTTATGATTTTATGTCTGAGCCACAGCCGTGCCACTAAAGAACTATCAACACCGCCACGTAGTTAGTTTTTCTGCCACATCAGCTATTTTTAACTCAGTCAAATGTTCACTTTGTTGCCAGTCTATAAGTGACATACTATGTTGCAATAAATGACTCGTACAAATTCCTAAAACGAGTTAAGAATTTTGCGGGTTGCCTGTGTTCGATCGATGACGATTGGATAAATTGCCGTTTGGCCAACTTTTGATTTTTATATGTACAAATAATAATTGGAATAATGTCAAGAGAACAGTATAGCGTGGTCGTTGAGGTGGACGAGGATTCAGTATGTGTATTATGTAATAAGTATTATCTATAATCTTGAGTTTTTATGGAATATCAAACTGATCGTACAAAATTACTGGTCGAAGAACACAGGACGACAAGAACTCGAATTTCAGGGTAAACTCAAATTTTTTGTTGAGGGCAATAAGACTGTTGCTAGGGTAGAAGCAATCATTGCTAATTAGTATGGGTCTTTTCAGACTATTCGTCGAGTTCCGGAGTCGGAGGGAAGATAACAAGTGACAAGCAAACATCTTCGAGTTCAGGTGAGTTGTAAGTGTTCGTTGCAAGGTGTAGATGTCTCGGTAGACAAAGCGTATTCACATATGCTATAGCTAATATTCTGAATCACTAATTTGTATCTTGTTTGCTCTTCTTATGAAGCTTCGTTTGGCAATCCGTTTTACGATCCGCAACAGTCAAGTCAGACTGAAACTCAAGGAACCAGTTATCCATTCTGGTCTATCGAATATTATGCACAGTTCTTTGATGTAGATACAGATCAGGTGTGATTGATTACAGCATTGAACTGTGTCGAAGCTGTATCGTAAGTCTTTCTTTTTTCTGATGTGATTTCGGGTTGTTTGTCTAGGTGCTGGAGAGAGCGGGGAAGAGTTTATTTCCAAGAGAAAGTTTTGCGGAAACCGTTGGACCGCGTCCAGATTTGTATGGTTAGTTCACTATGATTATATTTATAATACCTTTATGTGTACATGCACCCAAACGCAACATACAAATATTTATTTACTTGAAACATTTAAACATTGTCTTGGTCTTCTTCTAATTTGATGTCGGTGTCTTGTAATCAACAGGTCCCTTTTGGATTTCAACAACAGTGATCTTTCTCCTCTTTGTCACATCCTCTATTGCCGGATCAATTGCAGCACACATAAGTGGCCGTGTTTACGCATATGACTTTAAGATCCTTACGTTTGGCGCAATTGCTGTATATGTCTACGCTTTTGCTGTGCCTCTTGTTGTTTGGATAGTGCTAAAGTATTTGGGGTGTCGTCCCGGGTTTTTGGATACTATTGCATTGTACGGGTACGCCATGACTGTGTGGATACCAGTTGCGGTAGGTCTTTGATTTTTACTCTGTTGCCCAGGCACGAATGTATTGCAAAATTGCGAGAGAACTTATTGTGAATAGAATTGAAGAAAACGGAACTTGTGAGGGAAAGATCTAACTGATCAATATCTGGTTATGTTATAGATTTTTTGCGTAGTTCCATCAGAGTCCGTCCGTTGGACACTTGTAGCAGTGGGATTTGCCATCTCTGGTGAGTATTTGAAAATAATTTATGTTAATTATGTCCCTTACACCCTACTGGCTTTATAGATCGATTCACTTTCTGAACCTTTGTTTCTTATCACACAAAAATTTTTATAGGGTTCTTTATAACTAGAAATCTCTACCCAGTGATCTCTCAAGCAGAAGCCAAGGCTGCTCGGTTGATTATAATCTTTATTATTGCCGCCCATGCAGCGTTAGCATTACTGATGAAAGTGGAATTCTTTTCATACGAGATCAAAACTTCATTCGGTGATGGCGGAAATGGTGATGGCGGAAGTGATGGTGGTGACGGAAATTAATATAAAAAGCAGGCGTAAAAGTAGAGAAAAATGCTACCAGTTTAGACGTTGGCTAAAAATTTACTATGCTTTGATATTATGTATCGTTCATGAGATGTATAATAACATCTGGATTAATTTGATGAAATTTTTGGGGATAGCGAAAATAATTATAAATTTTATCGATTTTACAAATAGTTAATAGAACTAATAGAAAATGAAAGTTGTTTTATCAATATTGTTGTATTTCGTGAATTTTTGATGTACTATACAACTACACAAGTCGCGGAATGGTCTCTTTTGTGAGCATAATCACGAACATACCAGTTTACCGTTTTACGGACCTTATCAATTAGGGTGAAATACACGATGTATTTTATTATTACATCCAACATTTGTATGAACCTCCAGCATCAACGCATTCTTTAATGTTGCTATTGCAGATGGTAAATGAATTTAAGGTCTAAGTTGCTCCAAAATTCCAATAACAGTACAAATGCTCATAAGACGGCTGCTGGCTACATGTTTGATTCAGTAGCTACTGTGACTATGCTCCCCGAATAACAAAAACCGTTATACTCCGACAGGTATTGTTCCGAAACCGGGGATTCACGAATTCCATACATAATAGTTGCCGCATGAAATTGTTCCACTATTGAGTTTCGGTTGTTAACGTCTTTTCACACAACTGTATACTAAGCAAAAGCACTCAATAAAATACAATATGCTTTGCATTTCTTGTAATCACGGGGAAAGAATTAACGGTCAAGTCAGAATTGAGTACTTTGGACAGTCAATCTCTACTTCGCGTATACACCTCTTTGTTCATCACAAACTACTCTGTAGCGGTAGATGTAGAACAATAACACTTAGCAATAAACAAGCAGACATTTTTGTTTTAGATTAAGAATAGCGTTCAACAAGTACTATGCTTTTAGCGATGAGGAATTAAGGCAAGAAAAAAGTAGCATGCCCACGTTCAGATGACCGATCGGATAAAACAACTGCCTCGCAGTAGCGTATCGCAAATTACATTACATCCGCACCGCGAAACATCCTAAACCCAAAACTTAGTGTTTTGGCTAACATCGAGAACTTACTAAGATAATGGCCGCAAGTGATAGGCCACTTGCCGTTAGCTATTCCCTTAACGTTAATTTTTGTCAAAACCCGTATAATTGAATTATTTTATTACAGTTTGGCAAATCCTCACAAGAAGATTGTACAAACCATATTATCTATTGGAATACCAGCATATTGGTATTTATAGGAATAAATACTTCAATACTTTACATAATATTTAATATATATCTATTCGATTATTTGCTTCTTTTTTTCAATCCTTGAGTGTCGCTATCACCGCTGCCATTGTCCGCGTCATCTGTATACGGTTGGGTACCCATCGCTGATGGGACGTCCCTATGCCGATCTGTCTCATCTTCACTGTCTCCAAAGTGATCCTCATCTTCATCGCCTATATCATACAGAGGAGTTTCAATGACAAGTTCTTCCCTAAAAGTTTGTAAACAGGTATAGTGTTAGTGTTGATAATATGGTCACTGTTGCAATTAAAATGTCGTATGTACGCACAATTCGTTGTTTTCATAGTCGACGGCCTTAATTGGTTGACCTGCATTTTTCTTATGATTAAGATATCTGCGTCTGAATACAAATGCTCCAATCCCAATTAGGGCACATATAATAATAATTAAGGTCGCTGTCCCGCTGTTAATAGTGAATAGTGAATAGTGAATAGTGAATATTAATCAGTTCAACTGTAATAGTCCATGTGAAAGGAAAGCAAGCACGTAACATACGCGTTGTAATATCGATCCCACATTTCATCATTTCCGTCATCGCCGTCATAGGTATCGTCATCATCAGTAGGAGCACCCGGCGGTGTAATAGTCAATTTCTATTGAAAGAAAATTATATTAGATTTCCTTGATCGCGGGAGATTGCAAGAAAACGAAAATGCTGCGCGTACATCATCTCCGAGACTAGATGGGGGCCCTAAATCTGGATATGTGTAATTGAAGCCTAAGAATCTATTAATCATATCCGTTGCTACTACTGGACGATCATATCCAACCATGTGACTGGCACCGTATATAGTCGCCAGATGCAGGCCGCGGGCTGTCTTCCAATTACCGACAAGTGTGCCATTGACATGCCAATCAACGGGAACTGCACTCTTTATTTTATTTAGGAAATTGATTATGAGTAACGGATACCGAGAATGCAGTTAATGCTATAAGATGACCTTCATACCTTGAACCCTTTATCGCCATTCCACTCTAGCGAATCGATCATGCTCTGTGTCCCGTTAATATTGCATATTAAGTCTTTATCACCACTGTAAATATCCGACGAGTCAGTACGCATATGGAATCATATGTAGCAAATAGTCAACTAAACATCACCTGAAGAGTAAAACTGGGATATCTTTTAATATATCAGGCAAAAGCTATATCCGCGGGAAAACAACAATCCTCGTGTAGGTTAAGATCATTAAGAAAAAGGCGGAGCAAAATCATAACATTCCAACACTCACGGTAAAGGACGTCGGACTGGGATCATTATCCAATGCCGACCCAACAGCACCAGCACATTCAACCCAGCCTTCCTGTTTGTCTTGTGCATTTATAGCATTAATAACATCTTGTCTCTGAAAATAAACAAAAGAAAATCTTTAACCCTTGCCACGCACAAATCTATATTGGTTGCGAATAATTTCCTTATGTACCCTCAAATAGCTCGTTATATTCTTCAGTTCCTGTGGCCAATTCATACCACAAGCCGGATAAGTATCACGTAAGCGAATGTCGTACTGGTTAATACAAGTCTTTTGACCATTTTCCCTATGAACATTGTTAAGTAAATAAATAAAAGTCTCTCGTGCGCTTGAACTACTTTAAACGACTTACGTTTTTACAGTATAATCGAGGATATCTTGTAATATCCGTTCACATTCAGACTCATGAATATATACGTTTGTTTCTTGCAATTTTTGGCACTTTTCAAGAGTTATCTTGACTTGTTTCTGTTAAAAGGTAATGAGTACGTCAAACTTTTGCAATGACTAGTATATGTGGTCTGAACAATAGTATCAGCGTACTGTAAATTAATATACCTTTGCTTCTTCATCCATAAGACCATTAATGTCAGCGAATGAATAGTATGCTTCATACTAAAGCAAAAAACGAGTAAGTTACCCGTGCACATACATGGTTTTAAATCACATTCTAAATACCTGAGTAATAGGGTCGATCCACCCGTTACCAATAACAATCCCTTTTAGATCATACTGCAACATTATTGCACACAAGAATTAGTAAATATTATATAATTTCGTGACTACATTAATACATACTCTTAAATCTATCTGTGTTGTCTTTTTCTTGTTCCTCTTTAGTATTGCTGAAGCAAAGTATGGGATATAAACTCCAGCATAGCTTTCTCCAGTGATAAAAATCTAAATATGAATAAAGCTCCATGAGTACTCGGATCGCGTTTAACAAGACACGTGGTTATTCATATTACCTCATCACGAGCATATTCAGGGAATACCATGAAAAACTCGTCAAGAAATTTCATAAAGTGGTCAGTGATCTAAAAAAAATGGTTTCGTGATGTATGTTAGTAATACTCAAAAAGTACCACATGTCACAAGCAAACGCGTGGAAAACGACATTCTTTGTCAGCAATATACATTCTACAAACATGTAAATACCTGTGTCATATTTGATACGTATCCGTTTGTATCTACTGTGCTAAACCCAGTCCCAACCGGTTGATCGACTAAATGTCAAGCAGAAAGTGAAAAACTATTCGTTGTGCCAAGTAATACTCGAACAAATATCCAAATCAATAAATCTTTTGTACCAAATAGAACGTTTGCAAACATATTCCATGATCCGTATTCTGTTCTAAGGGTTAAATCACTATTCATGCGCCATGGACCAATTTCGAGAAACAACCCATCCATGCTACAAAAAAAGAGCGTGACTAAATAAATATCGATTATATCGAAACACTTTACCAATTACTATAACAGAAACGTTCGTGTCTCACCTTGAGCTATGTGATTGGAAATATGATAATCGCGAATTTCAGAATCATAAATACATCATCAGCGTTTATGCTTCTCGTTGTCTTTTGTACTCTAAAAAAACACACCTACCATCCAGGACCTATTTACAAGTGTGTTAAGATTAAACCAAAATTTACACTCTAGAAATCTTGTTCAATAAATCGCATCAATTACCTCCATTAAGCCAAATAACCTGCGGCCCATGTCAAGGAAAGAAACATGGTGTTAGAATGAATAAATAGAATCATGTCCATACAAATACTTACAAATTTTCTTTTCTCAGCGATATGACGATTATGTATTAGCCAAAAGAATATTTTCCCGTTTATAGACTCGTCTATTAAAATATGACTGATACGCAAATAATCAACAAATTAGTAAACATAAAATACTAAATCGGTTCTATGCAGTACGAAATCGCAATCACTTTTAATTCTCACCCAGCATGCTGCATAAGACCCGCGTCATCTGAAAGCCCAGGCAAGTTTTTGATATAATAGTCGGCAGCTACAATAGAAATGTCAATAAGTACACAAAAGTTCGAAATATAAAAGCTTCCTATAGGTACGTCCGTGCATCTTACCACTCTTCCTCTTGTCCTCCGGATCCCCATGCACAAAAACTCCGAGAGCCAGCAAGACAAAAAGTGCTGATCTCACTAAAATATTCCACATTTTTTGTACAAACAAAAGCTATCAAACTGAACATGAAACGTTGTGAAATATAAAAAATTTAAACTGAATGTATGATTGGATAGCGAATTTAACTATGTTCACTCCTAACCTATTTGATAGTAAACTTCAAAACAAACATTAGCTCGATCATAAAAACCGAGGTTTTCGCCTCGCGCGGTGTTCAGCTGGCCAGTTCTGAACACCGTTTGAGGCGAATCGCCCAACGTGGGGGTCGAACCCACAACCTTGAGATTAAGAGTCTCACGCTCTACCGATTGAGCTAGCCGGGCAAGACATATTTACAACAATGGATTTTTAATTTAATATTACAAACGGCACTCGGGAATGCAACGATAACAATAATAATAGGTTATGGCAATAGCAATGGCGATAGCAATGGCAATAGCAATGGCAATAGCAATAATAATAGCAATGGTATGGCAATACATATAATTGGGACGGACAAATTTGTTACAAAATGTTTCTCACCATATAGTTTTATTTCTTTTTTTGATAGAGAAAAATGCAAAGAGATTAAAAAAAAAAAAAAGGAAAAAAAATTCAAGTTGTGCAATATATATTTCCTCTGACTCTGCTAAATTTACAAGATATAAATCTCCTAAATGAATACATGCTATACTAGGGAGACTAATAATAATAATGTAGCCAATGGGGAAAACTTTTACTCATCTTTCGTTATAACAGATCTCTAATCTCCATAATTCAAAAGAAGAGAACAAAGAAAATACAAAATAATAAGAAAAAAAGGAAAAAAGAAAAAAGTAAGAAAAATTAAAGTGCATGAATTTTTAGTGTATTCGTTTCCATTGTCCTTCCAGTGTAATATATAGTTTATGTGCAAATAAAGCGGAGAAATTACAAGAAATGTCCTTAAATTCCAGAATACTTTTGAAATGCCCGTGTTAATATAGTTTATAAGTAAAAGTGCTCGTGCTAAAAGAGAAAGTGATTGAGAGTGAAAAAAAAAATTAAATGAAATTGCATTGTAAAAAAAATGTAAGAAAAAAAATAAAATTTTCTTTTTTTTTTTTTTTTTTCGTATAATTTTTTGAAATACTCTGTCAAAGTATTTTTTTTTTCTAGATACACACAATTCACACCAATTGCGGATCAAAACTAAAAGAATCTCTCCTCGTCCCATCAAAGAACGAATCCCTCCTCTCCTGTCCTAGCAAGAAACTTGCTGCGGAACCTCTCCTTTCAAAATCAAATCTATCTTGAGATAAGAATGCTGACGAGATAGAATCCCTTCGTTCCACACTGAGACAGGGCGAGTCCCTTCTTTCTGGTAAAAGGCCGAATGCCGAATCGCGTCGTTCAAAATTGAAACAAGACGAAGAATTACGACGCTCGTTAACGATGCCATATGCCGAGTCACGACGTTCGAGAGAAGGGATAGAGTCTCGGCGATCGGTAGGAGTGGAAGAGGTCGAGGAAGCAGTGTTATTGTTATTGTTATTGCTGCGTACACCGAGAGGATTCTTTGAGAAACTAAGGCGTATACCACCTTTGACAGAGTTCGATAACGGGTTACCGTACAATTCTGTCATTGCCTGGGTGGCATAATGAACGTCTTCAAACTCTACAAAGCACATCGGGCCATTTTGCTTAGTGCGGAAGCACATGCGCTTGTATCCGGGACATTTTGAAAAGAGCTGTTTGAGTTCTTCCTCTGACGTATTCATGGGTAGATTACCGACATACAGAGTATTACAAGGAGGATTCTGATCTGCTGGATTCGGTGTTCTGAACGGAAGGTTTCCACCGACCGAAGGTGAAGATGCCACTGCAGAAGAACTCAATGCCAGTTGTGCCATGCGATTGCTCAATTCATCGTTACCAAACAATGGATTCACAGGTGGCAGTTTTTTTCCACCAAGAATTTCAACCGGCGTTGTCTTTGATACGTACAACTCTTCTCCGTCAATAAAACCTTTGTTGCCGTATCTCACGTTGTTAGCCAATCCTCTTGGCGCTCCAACCATTCCAGCAATAGCTCCATTACTAGCATCGAACGAACCCCTGGCAGAAAAGGGTCCAAGTTCGCAAACCGGTGTTGTTGGCGTAGTAGGCGTATACACTCCGCTCACATCTGAATAGAGGTCGTATGGATATTCTGCAGCCAATAGCTCGCTCGGCAGTGCGTGAGCATACGGTGAAACAAATGCATCAAATCCAGGTGCGCCTGTATTGATATTTGCTGGAGGGAAGCGTTTGTTGGCGAGAAGAGGATAATTTAAAGGCGTGTTTTGATCATTAGAGAGGCCGCGTTTGGTGTGCAGGTTTTTCTTTGCCATTTCTGCTTTAAGAACGGAACCTTTTTCGGCATCTACTTTGCGCCCCGTGAGAACATTGCGTGCATCTACTGCTTCTACACGAGAACGGAATTTAGCAAAACCGATCTGGGATGATAAACAAAAATAATTACGTTGATTAGTAAAATGGTTGATTGCGCAGTATAGGAGAAAAAAAAAATTAAGAATGTAACATCAACTCGATTATTTACAAGAAAAAAAAAGTTTTACAGGCTTGTGTGTATAACATGAAACATGCAATAATCTGCGAGAATGTTGTACAGTACTAACACAAGCTCACCCCCAAAACAATAGCTACTGAATACCAAGTACAAATATGGGTTAACAATGTGGTAATATTGATAATCTGGCATGATCTATATATTATAGTTTACTATAGTTTACTCAATAGGCGTTGTACGGACAAGCCTATTGATAATTCGGATAACGCATGAGTTGAATAGGCTTTGTAGGCACACAAAACTGCCCAGAAAAGCGTTTCCGAGCCAGATAATACACTCTCGACGAGGACGCTCTCGTTGTTTCGCTCAACCAAAAACACACACTATTTTTGATCTTATCAATTTATAAAGATACTCACGATTTGCTTGCGGGGGTTATTTCCGTTATTATTCCCATTGGAATCGTCATCTGATGAGTCCTTCTGCGGAATTTTCAAAGTTGCCGCTTCGAAGCCCGGAGAAAAGATAAACATATTCTGAAATTCCCGCTCTTGCATGTCGTCGGGAAATCCGACAACAAAAATGGTGGAAATTTCCTCATTAATCATGGTGTTGTGTGATAGTTGAGTGAGATGCCAGTAGCGATGGCGAGTGATAGTATGTACAAGAATGCAGAAGGTGACTTCTAATTATGCAACTAGGTTTAGTAAAAGGAATGATGAAAAAAATTGTGGTAAAAGTTTGGTGAGGTGATTAAGATAAGTGTTTCTGTGTCCCAGTGAATAACAGGAAAAGAGAGAAACTGCGATAGTAGAAAAAGTGGATAAGAAAGGTGTATTATTCAAGAGTTTGTTTCTCTTTTTTTTTTTTTTTTTTCCTCCTTGAGCTCTTGAGTATGCAAAATAATTCTATTTCAAGAGAACATGTATAAGTTGTAGGGTAATGTGATAAATACTTGAGAATATTTATGGCAGAAGCTTTGAGAGTGGATTTTGAGAATATATTGTGCTATGTACAATAAATCGTATGCCAGTTGGTTGCAAAGCGAGAAACGGTATAAGTACAGTCCGTCCAGACTTTTGATTAGCTACTTGTTCCCGAATTCTATTCGATCACAATAAAGCAACCGGAACAGTATTTGTTGTTAATACGCAAACTGATACGGTAGGGAAAGGTTCTGGGTTGTTATAGGAGCACAAGAAGCGATGGAAGAGTGCAAATGAAGGGCAGAGTGCGAACAAAGTGAATATTGTATAGTGAATATGTATAGATATGGGTGTAAAAGTCCAGGTGTGTAAATTATTTAAAGTGTAGTATTCGGAATGTGTCTCTGAATATGTATGAATGTATTGTATATGAGTGTATTGAATGAGTTGGGTTTTCTGTGTGAGGAGAGAGAAAGAGAGAACCCGAGTGGGCTCCAAAGAGTTGTGAGAAGTCGGGGATTTTATTTGGAATGTTGTGGTAGTAAAAGGGGGGGTGTGTATGTGTGCTTACATAAAGTCCGATGAGATGCACCCTACAAGAATGTGAGATGGGGGGGGGTATGTGTGTGTGTGGGGACGAGTGAGGTTTGGAATGCAAGATGAATATCAACATCGACGTCAACATCAACAACAAGAAGGACAAACGGGCAATAACAACAACAATGGGAAATAATAATGGGGGAGAGGGGACAAGGCGGGGACAAGGCGGGGACAAGGCGGGGGGGGCAAGGCGATAATAATGGACAGTCTCGGTTTTGATAAAGGAAAAAGGGGAGGTTTCGTTTTGACAATTATTATTTTCATTGTTTTATTGTAAGTCAGTTTATGCTATTACGTATTGTGTTGATATGCGAATTGACTTTCATCCACACACTCCACAAAAGGAAGTAATAAGTATCTCAAACTGTCCACTGCTCGGAAACTGGGAATAGCAGTAAACTTTAACCGCAACTGCAATACTGATTATAATAATAATAATAATAATAATAATACTAATAATAATAATAATAATAACATAACACTTATCGTTATAGTCTTAGCATACAGTATTAGTATTATTATAGAAACATCCATAATAGTATAGGTAATAACAATTATTTATATAATCATAGTGACAATGATGTTGTCGATAACCTTATAACCAACCGGTTGTATAGTAAAAAAAAAAAAAAAAAAAAAAAAAAAGAGAGAGACCCTCCCCCTTTTTTTTTCCCTTCTCAACCCCATATCACGATAACCCTCTCATGCGATCCGTTCCCTTCTCGCCTCTACTTGGAAGTAGGTGAATATTACTATTGTTATATCGGATGATTGATTCCATCAAAAACATTATTAGGTCTTTATTCTCTCGGTTGGGAGACAATATGACAATAAATTAACCGACATAACATTGTCCTTAGACAAAATGCCAATCATTAATAATTCGTATTACTAACTCCGAGGTATCACTTATTTATTGGCATTTGTTCCCAGCGCAAAAGCGCAAACCACAGACAATATAAACAATGGTGATAAAAATTTACAAGTTTTACTGCATAGACTATTTGGTGGCTTGGCACCCACTCGGCGACTCGCACTTTTGACTGGTTTGACCCTCAATCGCATTAAAAAAATCACCTCTTCACTCTTCTTCACCTCCCTTCTCTTCCTGTGTTACAAATGTAGCTAAATATTAAGGCAGGATAAGCATATTGTGTTCATATAGTACAGCCACACCACTCTGCGCATAATGGCATACAATAGAATTGATGACAATATGAGAAATTAGAGCAGCAAGCTGATGACAATGGTATGGATATCATAAGATACAACATGTATAATTTACTTACATAATAATAATAATAATAATGTACCCATTCATTTACCATCAGCCCCAAACGTACAGAAGCATATCATTGATATCAATCTATTATTATTTATTATTCTTAAAATAATCGTTGTGACTAAAACGGAAATGTAGTTCTAAAAATGACAAGAATAAACAAATTAGGTCATTAAAAATAGACGAGTAGGCAGAAAAAAAAATACAGACGATATGAGTGGGAGAGGGGGAATTGGTATTCGAGTGTATGTGGCAGATGGATTGGATAAGGGCAGGGCTAATGTAACAACCCGACCCATTCGCACACACTCCTCTCTACTCTTGTGCTTCCTGTATACGTTGATGCAATGTCTCCGTCTCTCACTTTTACTTCACCCCTACCCATTCTTGTGTCTCGTAGATAAGGTTTAAGCTTACGATTCGGCAGCCTTATGTACTGTATATTATGGACGGTTAAACGACAACGGCACAACGACACAACAATGAATAAGGGCAGATTAAAACCTCCAGGGGGGATACGATAAACATCTGCATATTCATATTGTTATATTGTTGCTGTGAAACAATACACTGTATCACTGTTCTTGTACGTTATAAATTTCAGGGTTCGGACGATTTTGTGATCAAGTTACCGTTTTGTTATGGCTAAACAATTGTAGTAAATCCTATATATGGTACAAATTTCAGTTAGCAAAAAATCCAAGGGACTGGGCGTTTGTAACCGTCCTTAAAATGTATCTAGAACATAGATTGGTTTCTAATTTGTAATTTATTCGTATCCCACACAGGCTTTGATCTTGGTTTTCGTGGCAAATCAACCGTGTTATGGTCTATTACTACGGGTGTTTATCCTGTATTTATTATCATTGTTTCTGCCATGAATAATATCTTGTTGCTAATCAATCTATAGGCACTTTAATGTAGAATCTAATTACGTTAATTGACACGTTAATGTGGAATCTATATTACGTTGATTGAATATCAATTTACTAGTGCAACAAATACATTGACTTATTTTTTCTAATTGGTTAAAAAGGTTACACTCAAACATGTTCTGTGGACAACTAAAATGTAGTCTTATTGAAAACAATATAGTTTCGGCCAAGTGCAAGCTTGTTTACAATTCACGAGTTACATCAAATACTTTTGTTTTGAAATTCATGATAAACATTGTTCACTTGTCAATATCAAACAGAGCCGCCTTTTGAAATTTCTATTTTTAGCTTGATCAATGCTCTCATTGAGATAGTAAAATTAATATGCCAGTTCTGAAACCAATGTTTGCAGAAGCAATCCATTCTTTCAAAAACGCAAGCTATCCCTTACTGGTTTTAAGCAAAGGTTTTGTCTTTTTTTTTTTTGTGAAAACGCGAATAAGTTTTTATCTTGGAAGCAATAACACTGATTGCAAAGGAAAGAACGCTCAGCATTGGCAATGTTTGATGAACCTAAAGTACGTCCGATATAATATACGTTTTTGCATAATTAACACTTTATCGAGCTACAGTTATATAATGGGTTACATTTTAATTCTTCAATATTCGGCGTTAAAACAATGTCTAAATTTCCTGCTCGCTTACCACAGAGATTTTTTCGAATCAGAAAAATAATATTATCGAGCGCAAAAGAGAAAAGCATTCTGGCATTCAATTAACGCGAAACTACAATCTCGTCCCATTTATGAGAAAGTACGTCACATTTTACTGTGACACTTTTCTGGACAACATTTTGCCGCTTAAACACTTTCTTGGTCATCAATCAAACGACAATGCTAATGAAAAAGCGAGACAACTCAATTTCTAATTGTGATATGGTCTAGCTTCTTTCATCCAGTACGAAAATTCAATTACCGAAGGAATGACTTTTATGCTTGGATGGTTATTTTTGTGGAATTTATTCTGTGGGTTTTCGGATTAACGTAGAACATGTTCTGGGAAAACGAGTTTGTTTTATCGTCTATGTAAAATTCACCTCGCGCAATCGGAACAGGCTGACAGTTTTTCAAAGTGTTACGAAAGCGTTGAAGGACCATCTCGTCCGTAAATGTCTTGTTCCAATTACCATTAAGCTGCCAACCGGAAGACTTTAGTATAGCCAAATTCCATTAATTTTTTTATGTTTCATGCTTCCAAACTTTCGACAATCTATTTTGCTAAGTTAAGATCTGTTGACCTAATATTCGCAGTAAATTTCTTTCATAATGTCTGCAGATCGGCTGTTGTTGCAGATAAGCTTTACGGCAGCACTTCTTTAACGTATAAGACATCGCTCGAAATGACATATTAAAACTCTCTGGCAAAGCTCGTTATAATAGAAAGTCGGTAAACCATTATAGTACCGAGTTCCATAATGACATGTATGATTTGTAATTATGCGATTCCATTTGTATTATACCGATCTTCAACTGTACGTGACGCGATTTTTTTGAGTGAGCTACACATGTTTTGCTCAAACCCTATCGTAACACACTATTTGCGACTGTCCAATCACTGACACATTGCATTTGTTTGATCTCTCTAGTAAAATGCTGAATTTTTATAAAAATAAAGTGTATTCGCCATTAATGTCAAATCATAATATTAAAATAATTATAAAGTAGACGTAAACAATTCATTGAGGTCCTTCTACTTATAAATTATTGGATTCTCTTTGGTACTACAGTACGCAAATTTCCATTCTCACATGTCGCTTACCGCAACCAGCGCATCCTCTTGAGGAACGCATGCTGTATGCTCTGATGCAAGTTTTACTATTGTACACAATGTCAATAAGATTATCGCACTATTTACAAAACTGCACATTGATAATGTCCAACAACCATCTACTCTCACGCTAGTACCAAATAGCAAAAATATTATCTGATTCATATTAGAATTGACCATCTTCCGTCATTTCTACTTGATCTCTCACGTAAAACAGAATATATGCGAGGTCTCCCTACAAATAGACGATAGGATGATGTTAGATACTAGATACATGCGCTATATTCTTATAGTAATTATAAGTCGCTATACTATGCTATGTTCCATATATAAGTAAATTTATCGACTTACCATGTTTTTCACATCTTGAACGCTCAATTGTCTGACAGAAGTGTCGTCAAACTTGTACCATACTGCACGACCTCGATCATAGACATTTGCAGTGTAATGGCCTTCAGTGACTGATCGCCCTTCATGATTAATTACAGCGTATAGATTATATCGAGTAGACCCCGTGCCTTTCAAATATCCGGGAATAACATACGGTGACAAATCAAAACCCTCAAGGGGAAAGTCAACCATTACGTTCAGTCTTCCAGCTTCGAATGTCTTTCGATAGTAGTATTTTTTTAATTGTATGATCAAAATATTGGGCATCGATGAAAATGCATATGTTTTCTTGGACAGACGTCTTTCAGCTGGACACTTGTTGCAATTCCATGCATCGCTACCCTGCAGTATCTCTTCATCGGTAAATGCACGCATACACTGATCCAATGTTACCACTTGCATTCTATTCGCCCCCCCCCCGGAACGGGAATCGGAACAGATATGTTTAAGTAGGCTTCGTACGTAATAGACGAAGAGCGACAACTGACGCATTCTACCCTGCTCTTCATTATAAATCCAAGTATTCCAACAAAAATAGATCTGTTGTTCTGGTAATATTTTCTCCATTCCAAATTACTTATCTCGTCTTCGGACAAAGAACTCCTTCTCTTCTCTAATGCATCGATTTTTGCAAGTTCTATCGGATCAGGGTCTCTTTTAAGGTAAGCCTCCAGTCTACATAAAAACCATGTCAAAAACAGTTGTGCATCTTGTTGATCGCTGGTTGCGTACTCTTCCATTCCTGATGCACGTGCTTCCCGAGATATGGCCTCTCTAAATTCCTTTGGACGATGAAATGCTTCGCCTCCCCTACGCATTTGTATCAACAGATCTGCAAACGCATCGTCTAAATCCTTGTCGTTGCCAAAGGCATTCCATTGTCTCTTTTCCCGTACCTTTCGCTTATCCTTCTTGTAGAGGCGCTCTATGAAATACATCGTAAATGGACGAGTACATCTGAAAACTTGTATTACCGCATTCTGATAACAAGTATTCCCAAGATTGGACAATCCGGTTCGAGTAATCCAAGACGACTGAAATGACGTAGGTGGCTTGGGCAACGGTCGAGTAGGTCTCGATATTGCCAATTCAGGGTCAACAACCTCGGTAAATCCATAGAATGGATGATCAAACATTTTCGTCATAGTCTGTCTTCTTCGTAATTTAACATCATTCGAAGTGCGCGCCGGTACGCTTGCCATCTGGCCTATTCCGGAAGAAGATACTGGACTTGTACTAAATACGGTAGCGCCAGTATTAGGGGTGGTGGCAGTAATACTGACAGCTGATGGTAGCGGTTGCTGAGGTTGCTGAGGTTGCTGAGGTTGCTGAGGTTGCTGATATTGTTGAGGTTGCTGGTACTGTTGAAATTGTTGGGGTTGGGGAAAAGGCATACTGTATGGAGTTATGGATGTAGCATATGGGCCTGCAATAGGAACTTGTGTATTGAGACCCATCATTGATTGCATAAGTGGACTACGATTTCCTTGGAACTAATCAAGAGATATTGATTATTAACGACTTTGTGATTACGGGCAATCCGAAATAGTGCTAATATAACGACAACTTACGAAATCCATGTAGCTCTTATTATAACCAAGACGTCCACGTCCAATAGCACCGTGACGTTGAAGCGGGTTGCCAACCGATCCATTAGCAAGGCTATTGATAATGTAGTAATAGGTTGTTAGTTTCTACGTAGTGAATATTATAGTATCGTACACGCTAATTGCAGCGAGACGGTAATCGAATCGTAATATATGAAACTAGCAATAAGCCAACAATGAATGTAGACTCTAACGCCTCTCGCCAACACTGTTGATTACATGTTCCTTTCCTCTTACCTATGAACCATTTCGTCATGTAGTACCATGCCATTTCGTTTAGTTCTATCTTGGCTAGATGTTCTGACAAGAACTGGTTTATCATTCTCATTTGAACCATCACTTACTACCCCGGCGTCGCCCTTCAATCGATACCATGCGTCAAATCCACCCACAAGAAGTGCAGGAGGTCTGCGCAAATTTTTATCTGTCCCTATAGCCAATAGGAAATTTCTTAGCGCATTGGGATATTCTCCTATTGTAGAAAAACTGGTACGTGTCACATCTGGTGGAATGGCAGAATCTTGGTCGTAATACACGAGCAAATCATAAGTATGTCGCATTTTGAAATTATAGCGCTCTTCTGGAGGAGAAAGAATAAGCCTGTTTTCTTCTAAATCGAGAGAAGAAATACTGAATGATAGAGAGTTGGATAAATAAAATTTATCTGGTTAAAATAAATTACAATACAACAAGATGTCAAAATTCATATTATCTACGCTTGATTAGCATTAGCTCCTTACCCATCGATTAAAATCATTGGTTCGATGCAGACAACATCCTTTGCTTTGATATGCCCTCGAGCAAATGTACTTCTTATCCGAATATCGACAATCAGAACACGCACTTTGTCTGGCGAATTAAGAAATCCGTCAAGCTCGGTTGCGAGAATAGTAGCCTTGGGCACAAGACCAGACATTGCATTTCTCATTTCCTGTTCTGATAATTTCATGGGTTGAGGCATGGGTTGAGGCATGGGTTGAGGCATCGATAGTGGAACGCCTGCGCTGCCGTTTGTGGTTATAAAACTGCCGACATTCTGATTAGCTGCTATATATACTGGAGACTTGAGTGATTGATCTGTAAATGATTTCGTTTGCGGCGACGTAAATGGTTTCGTTGGAGATGGAGATGGAGATGGAGATGGAGACGTAGCAGGTATAGGCCGTCGAGTGTCTACTAGAGGCGAAATGACTGATTGTGGTTCAGGCATTTTCGCACGGCTGTCTCTCGCATCTAATGCTAGTGCAATCGACTCTGCGTTATCCAATGCAGCTTTGGCCTAATTGAAATAATTAAATGTGTTACTAAAAACAAGAGGTACAACGGTGAACTGTACACGAACAAGATCTATATTCACGGTACAATTCGTTCCACTGCTTTGTAGTTAATATATGATGAATCCTCCTTTTTCAGCTTGGAAAACCCAGGTGTTTTAGGTATAATTTCAAGGACTATTCTGCATTATAACAGTAAGTAATATGCATGTTAGATTCAGTATGACACAATTGCAAACTGTATATAGGCAGTCGACAACCTGATATGATATGAGTAAAACAGTCTGTTTACGTTTGATAAATAGATCACACACGTCATTTACCTTAAACCTTGTATATATTTTACATACGCGTTCTCAAGGTCACCCTCTTTGTTAGCTAATTGTGCCTACATTAAAAGAGATGTAAGTCCACGCCGATGATTTCTCGTGTTGACTATTCATATGTTCTCTTACCCCACTGAGCAAACTCTCGGCTTTCTTAGTCCATGCATCTACGTTCGCAGTATTAGGATCAAGCGGAGTATTCGCTCTTTGTTTTAGTTCAGCAAAAGGTATAGACATCTTTTTTGACTCATATACGATCCAGAGCCAAGATAAATAAAAACGTAATAGAATGGCCAAGCAGAGTTTAAGGCTTATGTTACTATTACGGTAATGCTCGGGGTTTAGTCTGCTTGAGCCCTCGGGGTGTAGTACAAAACCCAAATACGAAGTTTCTGCGGGTGCTGCACAGGAAAATTTATCGGACCAAATTATTTTCTTGCCCAAATCTATCATACTAATACACAGTTTAATATTGATCAAGCACTAAATAACTGAAACGATCGTTTTCGGAACGTCTTGGTAACTTGCTATCCATATCCAACATGACTAGTAACTTTTTCTATCTCCTCTGGCTGGTAGCTTCTGTCTCCGATATTCTGACATACTCGTTACACGTGATTAACGTAGTACCTGAGATAGCTATCGTGGATTTCAAATAGCAAACACTTTCCCCGTTAATTTTTAGAAATATGCCAAAGTAAATGCTGTCTTGATTGATTTACGACTATTAGTATATGCTAAACCCATCATAAAATCAGGATGATAATATGTGATCAATAAAGGACTGAAACCTCAATATCGTGATAACTCATGCTTAACCCCTAATAAAGAAAGCGAACATCACAAATTAGTATAGGAGCGATGGTTGAGCAAGCTGCTCAGATGGTTAAGATTGTCTTTGTCTTGCTCTTATATGCATTAGCATACCAATCCATTGCTATTTAATATTAATGCCAAAAATGTAAATGGGCTCATTAATATTAATACCAATTGTTGCGATTTTCTTTCCGAATCAAAAAATGGACTAATTTTATGGTTTGATTTTGTGCAGTGAAAAAGTGTTCTTTTTTTGGAGTACAATAGGTGCAAAATTTTACGAAAAGTGTGCCAAATCTTGTTTTTTATTGTCAACAAGGTTAGACCTATCACTCTTGTCTCATTCTTTTAAAGCTAATTCTCAAATATAGAATTCCTTCATTAAACATATTGCTATCATTATCTCCCTCTTTCACCAATCATCCTTCTCCCTACTTATTGGCGAACTCAAAATGGTTGGAAAGATCAACCAATCAACCGATAAAACTTGCATTTTAAGTCTATATCACCGGTACATATTTCAAAATGTGATTAAATGCTTCATTGATTAATAGTCTGATGGCGAATAGGCCAACAAGAAGAACCACAACTTATTTGCACATTTCCTCTTTTCTATTCTTTTCCGAATATCTAACGCGCATACTTGCATGCCATGTCTTATGAACATGCGTCTCTCATAATATGAACATTGTCATAGCACGTTTACGATTTGTTGCATTGCAATTCACATTGTTTCACTTTGTTCGTGTTCTGAGACAAACTGAGAATCTTATTTAGCTAGAACTGCCATAGTAATAGATAATATATGGAAATTTGGTGAAATGGAAATGACCGCTATGGAGATTGAGTTAAAGAGAGGGAGTTGATAAATCTTCGGATACAAAGGAAGTTAATTCACAGTAAGTGTAATATTATTATCTTTTTATTTAATTTTTTTAACTCTGTATTGGAATGATTTCTGCCTCATCATGATGACATTTAGGTGATAAGTAGTTAAAATCTAATTAAATGATAACTATCTGTACGACTCTCCAAATTGTCGTTTATATCGTATCCGGGCGGGTTAGATAGTAATAATAAACTTTATCATATAATAATAGGTGCATACCGTATATTCGTGTGAATAAGCACCCCCCAGGATTACCGCATTACCTCGTTAATAGTTTATTACGCGATGGCATTTGATTATAAAATCTTTTAATGCAATTCGGAATACTAATAAAACGAAAAACCAAAATTGTAATTTTTGTCTCGAGCAGGAAAACAAATATAAAAAAGCGGCGAAAAAATTCCACGTCACGAGCATTTCATCAATATATAGAGGACGCGTCACAAATAATCAGCATTTTTCTTCTCTCATAGCTTGTCTTGCGACTTCTTCCCGTATAATTACCCAACATATTCTTTATCTAGCCTGTCTTTATCGTTTGCTTTCTCTCTGATTCTCTGTTGCTACCATGCCGGGACATGTCAACGAACCGTTGCATGATTCCCTCGACGAAAAACTAATTCTCTGCATACTCGAAAGTGCAATTCAAATGAATTGTGATTCTGTATCATTCGATTTCGTCTCAGAGATAAAAGCTATTCTTCAGAAGAATGTGAAAAGTGATAACAGCGAGTGTGAATATACAAAGAACAATATTGATTGGAAAGACAATGAAACGAATAACCGTGATGTTGATAATAATGACTCTAGTCAAGTTGCTGTAGGGTTAGGGAGATGCAGTAGAGGCAGACGTAAGTTGCCCGATAATTTATACGTACTGGTTTGGGTTGTTTATTGCTCACATAATTTACGCGTTTCCCTAAATCAGTCCTTCCAACTGTTTCACCATCCAAGACACAAGAGTCATTCCTACCAACCTTCAGCTTATCACCATCACCGTATACATTACAGCCGTTACCGCTACAATATGCTGCTTGTCGTCCGGCACCCATAAAGCTAGCTATCACCAATATACCATGTACAATTATTAATCGTTTGTCTATAATACAATTTTATGACCTCTGTGCAATCCTTCAGAGTGCTATCGCCGAACCATCGCTTCCGCCATCTTTCATTTCCTCGGACATCATTTCGAATAATTCAACTCAATACTACGTGTCTTGCTACGAATCTTTGGTCAGTTCTCCCAAAACGCCAAATGCGATTCTCTCAGCTTATAAACTCGGTGAAATCATTATTCTAAGCGAAGAAATTCCTCTTTTGCCATCAGATGAAGAACTATCAAAAATATTGTCAGTAGCTGAGAGCGACATTGTGGAGACTAATGTTCTTGCCGTGAGAGTATACGATTTTATACAGATTGTTGGCGGACAAGCAATTGAGCAAATGAGCTCGTCGACATTGGGATTTTTTAGAAACAAAAGACTGAACGACACTGTAATTAAGTTTGCTGAACGCGTATTGAGGGGCGACTACGACTTGCCGAATCGTGCAGAATTCGACGACAAAAGTTAGTCTTGGGAAATACTATGCGGAGTTGCGGTTTGTTAAAAGTCATTATGTTGGACAAGAATTACAATAAATGTGGTCATAATGCTTATGTCTATTATCTCACAGATATTTGAAATTTCTAATTACAATGGATACGTTTAATCGAAACCAGAATAAATGACTCCGTTTTCTATTCCCCAATGTTTGTTATGGATGCGATAAAGTCAAATTTTCTAAAGTGTTTGTATTTACATCACCGTTTACGCCAAAATATTCCCACACTCTACTACTAGCACACGAATTGCGTAAACGAAGGATCATATCTATAGTCGCTTCTACTCCCGTCAGAAACGTAACTGTTACTACCGTCACCCTCTTCGCTTTGCACTATGCTTTCGCTCATCCTTCCGCTGTCACTACTTGCTACGTCTCCGCGATTGTTTCTTGAAAATGCTCCAACTGTTAAAAATGCTTGACTGTTTCGTTCACGCCGACCAAAGAACGATCGAAGATTGCCACGATTACTGTCCGTCGGCGTGGACAAAGCAGCCAATTCTCCCATATATGGCGCATTCGATTGTCGGTTAGCATTGTTTGCTTTACGGCGACGACGAAGGAAGAGCAGCCCGATTGCAATAATTAGGGCGGCAAATACAACGGGAATTGCAGCAATCAGATATGGTCTTGCGGTTGGGCTCTGGAGTGAGACCGTAGATGGTGGGGAGGATTGCGGTGATATTGATGGTGTAGATGGAGACGAGGCCGAAGGGGATGGTGATGTATTAAGAGACGGCAGTGAAGACGAAAGGGGAGAATCGTTTGGTGATGAAGACGAAAGGGGAGAATTGTTTGGTGATGAGGGCGAATTGGGAGAACCGTTTGGTGATGAAGGTGTTATGTTGGGAGGGATACTTCCGGGAGGAGGTGTTGGAATAGTATCGCCGGATGTGCTGGGGTTATTGTCTGGGGATGGGTTACTACTCGGAGAAAGCGGAGACGATGTAGTTGAGGGAAATGGAGTGGTATTAGTATTAGTTTCTGTATACGTAGTATGTGTTGTACTGGAACTGCCGCTGGTATTGGGGTTATCGCTCGGAGGAGATTTATCATTGTTTCTCGCATATATTGCAGGGTACGAAAAATCTTCAACTTCACTGATGTGGCGAACGACACCGTCCTTCTCAAGGAAGATGTCTAATGGTATTAAAGCATTTGTAATTGTTAGGCCGAATAGACTTTCTTGAGAACCCTTCTGGTTATCATAATCATAAACAGATGACAACTTCATTCTCTATATTCCCGTATTGTGTTGTCTTCTGCGAGAACGAATGACAATATATTCAAAAATATATAACGTAGGATGACTCCCGAGTCGAATCCTTATTACGTTCGCAGAATGAGTCTGTGCAGTTCCAGGGAATGCGGATACATTTAAATGTATCTAAGTATTGTTGACTACCGTCCCTCCCGAAACGGAATAAATTAATATTAATATTATTCAATTAACTAAGTAACGATTCTTGTAAATACAAACAGGACATAACACCCTCCTTTTAGAAAAAGACTTGATGCTTTATATGTGCACAATTGATAATACAAAATGCGGTTGAACGAATCAGTGAAGCCTAATAGGATAACAACTATAGTTACAATCACTACTTAAAAGTATAGAACATAGGCTCTCAGTCATTTGTACTTACATTTCGACGTGTCGTGAAACATTGGTGAACCCGTATCGAATAATTAAATGTGACATAAATAGATCCTAGTGCAAAATTCGCAAAAGAAAAATATAAACCGTAGCTCGTTGATCTAACAAACGCGTGTGGGAAAGCCCATTTGAAACACTTATCCTAATGTTTTGCGTTACGAAAGACAAACGATAAAGTCAATTGAATTCTTTTGCCTTCTGGAAGTGCATTCACCCGCCGGTGGATTACAAGAAGTAATGCCTCTTTCTATTTATAATAGTGGCTTGGCATCCAACATCTAAATTCCGAAAGGATTAAAAACGTTATTAATATTAGTAATGTCACAAAATAATGCACCGAATGCATTGACATTTACTTCAAAACTACCAAGTGTTTAAATGCTATCAACGTGAAATGGGCGATGCGAGTAAAATAAAAGGGTTTATATTATACGTACAATAATATTATTAGAGGTATAATGTAGAGACTTTATGACTTTGACGGTGACATTCTAACGTTCATAATTGAAGTAGTGTCCGCTTACAAACCAAATTATGCATTCGTGAAAATATTATCTAAAGGAGATAATCAGAAGGAAACGTTTCTTTATACCTGATACGGCATTGTAAACACAAATAGGTTAATAAGTTGTTACTTTTATAGCATCTGTTATTTCAAAGTCTCGGAATCTTTCCTCAGATAAACGTAATGTTAGAAAGAACAAGATGCTTGCTCCATACGAATTTACTTGCCAATGCATAGTAATCGCATTTATTTGAGCGGCGTTTATTCTCTTGATATTACCCGCCATACAATTTCTAATTACTGTGTCACTTTTTCGTATATGCACGTCATCGAGTTGTTGGTATGATGTTAACTTACATTATAAATTATGTATTAACTCTATTATAATTGTACATGGTATAGACGTTTGTATTTTATAAAGTATATTCGAAACAAGAGATTAACTTTGTCAATGCAACCACTGAACACTATCCACATTCTGCAAACATCCGGGGCTAATTTATCGCGTGATTTGCATCTGCTGGGTGAATTTTACCCAATTTTCTAAAATCTGTATATGTGCATTAATTTTGAAACAAGAAAAACAACGTTTTAATGTTACTGATTCCAACAGATGGTGGTTTTACTGGTAAATTACATTCCTTTACATCAAGTGACTTTCATCTTGGCTACAAGGAGACGAGGGCATATTCAATAATACTTATCTAATTGTTTATATCTACCAAAGACGTGATAGTCTTTGAGGTTTTTAATATTAATTTTTGAGTTGAGTTTTACTTGTGCATGGTACTCGTACTGATGGGAGAAAATTAAACCTATTTTTGCCAGCAATACATTCCACGTTTTTGAAAACTGGTCAAATAATTTTTGATAAGATTCAAACTTACGAAAACAATACAAAAATTACCGTTTCGAAGAAATTACTAAACAATTAGTAAAGTTGAACAAAGTTGTAACATTATGCTACCTGTTTATTTAGTTAATGCTATGTTTGGGTACTAAATTCAAGTATGTTATTATTTCGAATTAATTACTTATAATCCATTCGATAAAAAATATTATATTATTTTCGTTCCTAATATCACGTTCAAAAATAATATCAAGGCATAGAATAGAAAACATGTTATAATAAAATAAATTAAAAAAGAACTTTGCCAGTTCTCCATGTTAACAATTTTGGCCATGTGCAAATCTCCTTGGTAAACTCTATAAAAAAAATTATAACATATCTGTAGATACTGTATAATATTATATATGCTACTTTAATCACTTTAACTAAAGCTGATTATGGTCAGCCATCTTGAATACTTGTTTTTGTTAACTATAATAATATATTTTTCTTTATTTAAAATAAAATGCACGGTGAATATGCCTGTCCCTATCTTCATAATTCTGGTAAAAGCTGTAATAAAAGTTGTATGCATCCTGAGTGTTGTTTTCTTCATCGGAGAGTCTTAAACGCGTTCCTTACGCTTTCTTATTCTTATTCTGTGCAAAACCTACTGCCGCTGCTTTTGGTCTATTGCCAGACTCATATTGGTGGGTATTATGTTACCCAATATATAGCTCGAATTAAATGCTTAGTATTAGCCCCCACTAAGTTACCATATCATGGTTTTTAGCATAAGCGGATAAATATTCAGAATTTTGATTAATTTTTTCGCAATAGACCGACTATTATTTATATTATGGGGCTTTTGCTTCTGTTTTTTTACGAAAATATCCTATACTTTCATATTATACCCTCTGGGTGGGCCTATGCTCCACCGTGTTCCGCATCAACTCTTCCAAGGTGGGGCTAAACCATTATCAAATTTAAGATTTCAGAGACTTCAGCTAGGCAAGAAGTTAATTAAAGTTTTACGCTCTCAGCTCTAGTAAGAAAGCAAATTATAGTTTTTGAGGTTCTAGAGCAGGCTTTTTTAACCGAAACAAAAGAGCCTTCTGGAGCGTGTTCTTGGCCATTACCCAAAATACATATCAAAATCGCCATGCTAAATGGCTTTCCAGCCAGCTAAGACTCTGCAGACCAAGAGGTTAACCGACTTACCCCAAAAAAGAAAAGTCTGCTCGCACTTCCTGCGGTTGCTGGACGTTTTAACTATTAATTATGGAGTACAGAAAGACAATTAGAAAACATAATACTAAGGAGTGAGATGAGGTTAAGATCTTATGATTGAGATCAAGCTAAACACTTCATATAAAAGCAAAGCAATTATTTAGACTTGTTGCTCTATTACCGTTTTGAAGCTTAGTATTAGTAAGCGAAGGGCCTCATACTACCCTAAAATGGCAATTAAAATGTGCTACACACATAATCCGTATCGGTATTAAATAGAATAAGAAATCGTCACCACGTGTTTATTGATCCACCATTAATTCAAATTATAGTTGGCGGACCAGCCCTTATTATAATTATATTGTTATTACGTGCTTTGCGATCCCGTCATTATTAATATTCACAAAAACAAGGCTGATTGGATAACGATAGAATGGGTATGTTGAGATACATTTTCTGCAAAGTTGCCGCCTAAAGTTCACGCAAATAGGGCAAACTTTGTGTCGTACAACTTAAAAAGTAGACTAAAAATAGATGTTACATGTGCTGATTTCGCATGTAAAACAATCTTTTGAATAGACACTTGAACACACCCTTTTCGCCTCTAAAATTTCCTTTCAATCATGTCAGATAAAGTCAAAGAAATTACTTATTGCGAGGTATTTCTCGCATCGCCCAGTCTCACCATACCGACCACCGAAGGACTTGGTCTAAGCATCAAAGGCACTATCCGCTTTACACTTTCGGCTCCGCTCAAACTCAGTCAAGTAGTCGCTAAGCTCCATGGATATTCACAATATGACAATTCTCAAAAGACGGGGATTATGAGAAATCTTAATATCAAAGATATCATCAAACAGAAAGCCACAGTCGTCAATGTCGCGAAATCATTCCCCGCCGGTGAGACAGAGCTTCCTTTCATTATCAACATTAAATCGCCCCAATCGCTCCTGGCAACCGTCGAAGGCAAAAATGCTGCAATCCGGTACATCATTACCGTTGAACTAACAAGAGCTGGAGCACCGCTCGCAGTCTATAAAACTACAAAGAATGTGATTTTGCGCAAGCGCAATATACCAAAAGAGTGTGATATTAACGAAATGGTGACTGTCGAAGACGAAAAGGAGAACCTGTTAAAGTATAATTTGCGGATTTCAAAATATCTCTTTATAGAAGATACGAACGATCAAGACGGAGATGCTGCGAATGCGCAAAGTTCTCTAAAAGTGGAAGCTTCATTCGATGTTATCGATAACAAAACAAAAGTAAAGGAAGTGAAAGTTGAAGCTTTTGAATACGAGATGTACAACATTGCCAAAGCTACAGCTGGTACTAGCGGATCAGCCGGGACTAAGCCGTGAGTATTGGCGCAACATCTAAAGCTTGTTTTTTTTTTTTCAATTTAATTTGATAGTTCACCTTTTACTATCTTTTTTTTTTAATTGCGACAGCTCCGGTTCGAAAACTGCAGCCAGATCTCGTTCAACACCAAAAATTCCCGCCTTTTCAGCAATTTCCATTCCAAATCCTCATCACACTATACCGTTATTAAATCCTCCGCTGACAATACCTCTGACAGAATCCGAATCTGGTGTAGTGAAATTTGAAATTCCCTTCACTGACAAGATGAAACCAGACTCCAAAGCTCCTATATTGGAAGTGAAGCATGAAGTTGTATTGACGATTAAATTTGAAAAGTTTCTGTTGATGCCATTAAAGTTGGAAGTGCCGTTTGTGGTTGCCACACGTAAAAACAAAGGCTCAGCAGGCGGCATAAAAGAGGAACCGGAAGAGAAGGCAGAGGAGAATAGTATAAATGAATGACAAAGGTTTTTGAGAACTTTTCCTGAAACACAATGGATTATATTAGAAAAGGACAACATTCATGTATTGAACGATGTGCTGGGGAAACTGGCAAGGACAATCGAAGAGTATAAATTGGTTACAAATAGCGTTTAAGAGAACTGAATTATGGAATAATTAGAGACTTTTAGACTTTATTTGTGCGATTGGTAACGGTGTACGATAAAAACTGTTGTTAGTGACCATGTTAGTGACCATGTTTACCCTTTCTCCTCTTTTTAACGAACTATGCGAAAACATTTAATAGTAATGGGTTGACAGTTTCGCGTTTTAGATAGACAATTAGCCCAGTTCGCCGTGAAGAAGCTCACTCGTGTTAACCACGAACGAGTCATTTGATATTAGTATGGAGGATTAGTGTTTATAGTGCAATTGGGATATTTGTCGTCAATTCTTAAAAAGTAGAGAAACAATGAAACAATTAAAGTTCGCCAACAGGAACTTGGCAATTAATAAATAGGTACAACATTAGCGCACTACGTTACCATTGATCATCCTTCGATGATGGTATTAGATAGTCACGTGTCCTTATTACAAGCAAATAGCATGGTATTGAAGCTGTGATTATTGATACAATTAACTTTGTTATTTTTTGTTAAAGAATTTCTAATCATTTTCGTCATTAGACTATTATTTAGTTGTTGCTGAATATATAGTACATGTGTTAAGTTTTCGTTGTTTAGCATTAATCAATCCCTCCTGACTGCAAGGTTTATAGATCTTCTTCATCAACATAGTTAGCCATCGGGTCCTCGTGCCTAAAGAATAGAGAAGCATAGATTTAGCATTTCATCTAGCAAAAGAACAAGACCAAATGCCTACAAACGTCTGAAAAAATACATACGATAACTTCTTCAAACGATAAGCCTCCAATTCCTCTTCCGTAATTTCCTTGTCGACTTTCGAATCTTTACCCATAAATGCTGAATTATACGGCCGTTTTCGATCATCTGTTTCTTCCCGTGACAGTTTAGCCTGTCTTTTCGTTTCGTTCTCAATAGCCTTTTTCAATTTCTTGGAATCCAGCTGCACGTCTCCTTCACCAAGGTGCTTCCTCTTGACATGTATATTAACATCATCGTCTGCCTTCTCTTTAATAATACCCTTCCTAAGATTTTCTGTGTGTATTTCAACAAGTGACTTCTTTTCCGTTTGTGCTTGTGCTTGTGTTTGAGTTTGTGCCTGTACTGATTGTGTCGACGTTAAAAGGTTACTAGAAGAGGCGGCTTCGATACCAGCAAGACCAGTACAGTAGGAATTTTTGATAAAGGCACGACAGCATTTGTAACCCCACTTTCCATCCGCCCAATATGAACCCCAGATTGATGTATGGTTGTTTGTATAGACTAGAAGAGTATTAAAATACGGTTAGATTTATCATACTAAAGTCATACGGTTTTGCTCTACCAAATATTGTACAATCTAAATGACCCGTAATTTGTTGGCTTGGCATATGACTTTACGTCATATTTTTTGCAAATTATCTTTTTGTTTTCGTTACTTACCATCTTCTTCGTACTTGGATTTCGCCTTTGCCTTCTCCTGACCTTTAATAACCCTTCCTGTCCGCGAATATTCTACATAATGCTCTGTCTGAGCAAGCAGCAACTCCTTAGGTGGAACATCTAAATGTTCTTCCCCGCCATAGGTAGCCAGGATAGAGTCCTTGCTAGAATCCTTGAGTTTCTCTTTCTTAGTTAAATACTCTCTATGGAGCAATTCGCCTTGTGTCGGATTAGCTTGCAAATGAATATCTGTTCCCTTTTCATAGGCTTGCCATGCAAATAATTGCAAATTTGCCATTTGTCGAGCATCACCCGAGTAACGAACAAAATTGTCACCAGCATATACGGCCTAATAAAGCAAATCGCAGCAAAAGGAATTAGTTGTTTTTTCATCATTAAAGCTACGAAATTTGTTTCGGGATCAATCCTACTAGCATTATGCATAACGATGTGTAGTTTAAAAATGTTTTGCTTGAATAAAGCCACTTCTCTGATCGAACCAGAAACCAAGACTCTAATTCAATATAGAACAAATGCAAACAACGGAAACTCACATCCTCAGCTGGCATATCCTTATTCGGGTTATCACGCATAGAACGTGTTTTGGGATCGTAGTACGCAGAGTTAGGATCAAGATTTCTTAGATATTTAGCGGTATCTTCACGAATTCTAGAGAAATAATGGCAGCAACAACAAATTTGTTTAATAAGAAAAAACTTGAAAAATGCAATAGATTAACATTCTTTTTCTCACCTGAGGTTTCTGATGGTGGTACGCGTCTTTGTATTGACTTTTTGACCAGGCATGTCTGAACTTTCAGCATACTTGTCCTCATCTTCCTCCTCATCGTCACTGGAAAATTCGCCGCCTCGTTCGCCAGTTTTTTTGGCAAGCTCTGTTGTGCTTTGTTTTTCAAGTTCGCTGGCTTTTAGCTTGCGACGAGCTTCCTCGATTTTTTCATACTCTGTTAATATCACATCAACCAATTAGCTCACCCATCATGGGCGTGTCTTAAAGAGTTTACGTTATGATGTTATCACTTGCCTTCGTAAATCTTGGCATGTTCTGATGGATCATATCCGTTCCACCGATCTCTTTTTGCATCATAGTCTAATTCGATCTCTTGTATTATTTCGTCAGCCTAAAAGTTATTATAAAGTTTGTACCGTTCCGGATTAGTTTCGTAATTTAGACAAAACTGATAATGTCTACCATACTTGAATATTTTTTCCCGTCCATTTTGCACCAAGTTTTCTTGGTCGTTCCACGCAATCTTTCGTCTTGTGAGTCATTGCACCGCAATTCTCGCAAGCACCTTTTCGATATTTTGTAGCGGCAGGACCCTGTCTCATGCAATAATTACAACATTCAAGTTTAGGTAAGTAAATCTAATATCGTCAGTTGCCCGTCAACATTGTAATAAAAAAACTGACTTACAGCTCTTACTCCACGCATATACCATGTTTCAGGTTTGGATAAAGTTTCGCCCTCCCGAAGCCTTTGATGTTTGAGTGTAGGTCCACCAGTATCAAGGTACCCTTGAAAAGTGAAAAATTCGCTGGTTAACCATGGTTTTGGTAGATCTGCTCTTTCAGAGGAAATTCATCTGGTTTCACTTACAGGGTGCTTTGGCAATATATTGCGGTATATGAGGGTTAATGTCCCTCCCTTCTTCATCCTGTTCAGCGGGAGCAGTACCAGCTTTTCTGGCTGCCTCTAAATCTTTCTGCCTTCGATAATCCTCCCGACTGAGTTTTGTGCCTGCGAGTATGGGCGTATGAGATGATTATGTATAGACAATAAAGCTATACCAAGTTCAGGCACTTACTCTGAGTAAAGCCTATTGTTGACATTGATGATCTTGAAGTAATATAAAGTTGAAAACGAGAGACTGAAATATGATAATGATGTAAAGTCTCGTGTCTGAATTTGTGGCCAAGAGTAACACTATGATTGGTTGGTTTTTGGTCAACTTCTATTGGTTAATGAGATAATGATAATTGATGTCGTGTATTTGTTAACAACCACCATGAGTTTAATAACCGTCAAGTTGTCATTAAATTAGGGCAAATTATTATTTCGGATCAACTATCTTTTTAAAAAGTCACTGACTCTTTCACTTATTGCAGTTGGACAATTCGTAGACGATAGATCAACATTCTGTTTACATTCATATCATAAAAAAAGTTACTGATGTTTTATTTTCAAATATTCATGAATTGGTCCGCTGTTGAATTAATTATACAAACGTTGATTTCGACAATGTCCTGATTTTCTTCAAGAACAAAAGCCTGTTGAATGAACACTTTGAAGACTAAATTATTTTTCTTGCCAAAAATTTTAGCTTTCGAACTAGTAATCAGTCGTAGGAAAAAACTGAATGGATGTTACTGAATGTAGGGAAAAAAAAGAAGATATACCTTATAACTAACTAACTAACTCACTGACTTTGTGAAATCATTATCCGACTTGGGAACCCCAATTGCATATGGCATGAAAAGTATCGACGCGGATATGGCACTGTTTTCAATACCACGCTAATAACCGGCGCTGTATCCTGAAATTATGTCGAGTTTATGAGCTTTTGCTAGAGAAATATCGACACTGTTAGCAGATCGTTGATTAACATAACATAATACGATGTAAGATTAGCAGCTTCAATTTGAAAATATTGACATCAATTGCAATAACAGAACCGACTATTCCGTTGATTATGACGTTGTGTCCGAGTCTGGGAGCTGTCTCAGTTCAGAATTCAGTTACTCAGTGCAGAATTCAGTTGTCACTGATATCCTTTGTGTTTGTTATAAAGAGATGGAGTGATTCGGCATAACACAGATTCGTACGATAGATTTAGTCTGTTTCCTGGCGGCTATTTTTATTAATCAACGTTCCCCCCCTTTGCCATAACATAAGTGTATCAACTACGTAGAGTATGGAGTGGATCCATTTTCTTCAAATTCTATTGGCAGCTATCACTTGTTTCATAAAACAGAATGAAACGTTAGATCAGAATGACAACATCTATACGAACAGAATTGCCAATAAAGCACACACGACTAAAGCAACTCTTTGACTAGCAATGCAAATTCAGTTTGGCAGAAACAACCCAATACATTAATAACGAAACAAAGCGTACATACAATTTGTGATAATTATTCCATCTGCATTTGCAATATCAAAGTTACCTAACTTTATTCAAAGATTCAGTCCACATGCCAATGCGAACGATATACGATGCTGATTAATAGTTAAGTTAATACATAACCACTCAATCAAATACGATAATGAAATACCACCAAATGCTTACATGACCTAAAAGGTTTACGCGTATTCGTTTATAATCCAGGCGGACACGCGCTCATACCAAATGCAAACTGCTTTTATCGATATTTCAACGACTGTCATTACAAACAAACGAACGGATATGGTAGACGTGAATAGTCCAGTTTGTGATTCGTAAAAATATGCTCGCTTTGCAAGACCTTTTTTTTTAATCAAGTCTATTGCTTTATGTATAATTGCTTCTTGTATAATCGCTTCATGTATAATTGCTTCAAGTTTTTTAGCTTGCAATACAAAAGTTAGTCTAGAATTTCAAACACACGGTCCCGAGCTCATTTTTCATACAGTCACACACTGTTACATTCCCCCTGCCATTTTCGTAAGTTACCCGATTTTTGAATTAAATATGAAAACTGGTGCAGACCATGGGAAAAGTTTTCGGATACAAAACGTCAAACCGAGGATGTTGGGAAGAAGTAAACTCGTGCATACTTAGAATTCTAGTGAACTATGTTACTTATTATTATGTTACCAGAATGCCGAATTTTATAAAATATGAAAGAGTAAACAAGTTGATGTGAAAATATACAACATCCGTCCTGTCATAGTAATAGTATTACGCCATGGTAATATGATAGTTTTGTTACACGAGATACTTGTAAAGTACCATGGTACAGCATTGATTGTTTAAATGTCTTTTATTGGCAAGTCCCGTATGTTCCTGAAAAACTAACTTTTTCGACGGCTGAGCTCATAATGCTCTCCTGATCGAATATCTACAAAGATTTTATCTTACTTGTTGGACTAATCAATTAATATCACCTAATCTTCACCACCTCATCCTTTTCTATCCAAACATTTGGGTATGCCCCGCCCCCGATAAGTGCCCCCTTCATCAATTTCATCCCACGCCCTTCTCACCAATGGGAAACCGTTTGTTCACATACCTGCAGCAGTCAACTGTAAGTAATCATGTAAATATTGTCTGAGCATACTTATTTCGCATCGATATTATATTGTTTGACTCATATTGTTCAGTAAACGTTGTTGAATATGGCAAACGTGCAGTGTATTCCATAGACATAGACATAGCCCTGTTGCGTCTACTGAATTGCAAGTCCGAGTTTTCTTAAGTACTGGGTAATGTACTTTTCTGTGCAGACAAACGTTCTCGTACTTTTTTTTTTTTCGTTCTGTTGAGGAACGGAGTGCAGAACTTTCCCCAAGTACAATTTTGTCGTATTATTGCGTGTTGCTCGCATGCACTAATCCTAATCCGTAACGAGTGGCATTGATGATCGTAATAGGCATTACCATTGTGTAATAGAGACACTGTGATTGGTTATTTTGTACTTCTGTCTCCGATATTCATATGCTGGGGTATAGACATGTTACTACGCAACTACAATATTAATTACAACAAAGGAATTTATAGGTAGTATTTATGCAATTACAATGAATAAACAAATCCAACTTAAGGCTGCAGGACATTAATGCCCGGTCGTTACCGCTTGAATACAATTGGTTTTGCAAATATACTGTATGTGTCTAGTACGCTAATTATTGATTTTTATTGAAATTGCAAACACTCGAAACATATTGTCCACGACACAATATCAACAAGACGGAAAAGAAGAACATGTACTCGTAATCGAGAAGAAACTCCGGTTGGGTTGTTTAAAGCCTCAGACGTATGGTATGGCGTTTGTTATAGCAGCTCGATGCTTGTAGCGTATGTCGGCTCTCTATTTAGTCACGTTTGAAAGACAGAATATATGCCTGGACAGTGTGAACAGTTATATATTGCGTTAAACGACACATATGCATGCCCCTGTAAATATATTCATCTGGTAGGTATGTTTGGTCTCGGAAAGCCAAACTTTATAATTACGAGTTTACAAGTCATTATGGCAAAACTATTCGCAAGCATGGATGAAAAAGTATTGAAATCAGCAAAAGTATAAGTATATTATGTCGACATGTAAAAATGTTATATTTCTTGAAACAGACAAGATAAATGGTAAAGTGTGTACTATATGTTATAAACTGTATACGACGTACATTAAAGTGTATATGCTATTTAATTATGTACGACAAACGCTTTCAACCGAATATGTTAAAAGACTACTTGTTCACCATATCGTAATTTGTCTGATCGCATAAAATACTCTCTTAATAATTAAAATATTACGGAAGACTAAATTTTCTATTTACCTGACAAAATCAACAAAAAGCAAAAGACAGTAAAATATAATACTGCAAGAATAATTGATTGAATGTTACAGATAAAAACTTTGTCTAATAGCTCGGCTCAAACGGTCTACTACCGCCCTCAAAATTCATCTGCCACCAATTATTAACATAACCATAATTGTCGTATGGAAGCAAATAGACTGGATCCATTTCCAGGTAATTTTGTTCGTCAAAATATATTAGTCCTTCCGATGGGCCCGAGTCTTCCAGTTCCATTTCCATTTTGACTGCGTTAGCTTCAAGGGCTTGATGAATATCATCATGCTCTTCGTTCGTTTTGCGCGTGGTGTTATCCACTTTTATGTCTTCTTTTTTATCATCATCATTCTCCTGCCACTCTCTAAATCCGTCAAAGAAAATAAATCCCCCGCTCCCTTCGGTTTTGCATTTATTCTGCTTTTTTGTCTTTTTTTCTCGAGGCTCGTACTTATAATTTGGATACCGTTTCCTATGTACAATACGGGCCAATTCTGCAAGTATTTTAAAAAACTGACGAACGCGTGGTTCTTCGTTTTCCCAGCGCTCTTTCGCTTCTTTAGAATATATTTTTAACGTGTCCCTTGTGCGACGGGACCGCCTCATCTTTCCTCCGGTTTTATTATGCTTGTTTTTCGTCGCGGTACACTTACTGCTGTCATTGGCCATTTTTGGATTAGTTGTAGACGTCGTAACTCTCTCTTCTTCTAGTTTATCTTTGATTGATAATGTGTCTTCTTCCGCCTCTTTCATCGCCGCTTCTTCTTCCAATTTTTTTGCCGCATCTAGATTTCGGCGATACATAATCCATTCATTATTAGATCGAGGTATGCGACCTGAGTTTCGCTGTCGGCGTGAGCGTCGAGTTGGGTCGATGAGTTCTTGTAATGGCAGAGCCAGCTTTAGGGGAGGGTTGTGAAGAAGCTGTTGTATTTCGTCGGAGAGAATGTTTTTTTCCGTAATGAACAAGTGCGTCTGTTCGTCAAACAGTTTAGATGACATATTTGATATATGGGTGGATAGGTAAGAGTATAGAGTTACAGGGTCCAGATGAGGTATTTGTGTTTGTTGATATGTTTTATTGCAAGATGGATATAGTTGTTTTTTTTTTTGCTTGATTGATTTCTCACCGATCCGATATCGTTGGCTTTATATACACGTTTGATTACGTTTCCCATTGACATTATGAATATACTGGTCTGTTACCCCTATCGCCATTAATCCCTAAAATTAGGCTAATCAATTTGACATTGTGATCATATATCGATATATTGCTATAGTATTGTCGGAGCGTATATCCCTATCGTTACATCCCTAGTTTATAAAAGTAGACAAAGACAAACAGTTGAAAGTATTGTATTTTGTGTAAATATTTATGTTTACTGGGGTTAAATTTTTTAGTGCCGAGGCATGAGCGTGTGTTTCAGAAGCGCAACAAAGGTAATAACGTCCATAAAGGTAGCAATAAAGAATAATACCATACTGACAAACGCATCATATTGTTCCGAGCTTTTCTATTCTTAGAACGATTTAGCCTTTAGTTATCTGTGACATTTTTGCAGTCATCATTCCCGTTTTTACAGTCACACCTCCTTATAGTCACGCAATTTATGGAGCATCCTTCTACGTAATCACATTTTCTATCATCACTGTGACTATTAACTATGACGGAGCTGTATTTAACTTAACAGTCTCGTGACTTATGGGAAATTAATTGTGACATAATTACATCATACATACAATACCGACTCTTTGTTAAGCAATTGGTCTAGCCCCCCATTGCTGCAGTGAGCTATCATCAAGTCACGTCATCACAAAGAACTTTACAATCTAACAAGCATAGAAACTAGTGTAATAGTTGTAAAATAGTGTATTTATTTTAATTAATTATTTATTTTATTTACTATTACTAATTTTTTGTTCTTAATGGTGTCCCCTGAGGTTAAGGTACCACAACATATACGTCACGGGACAGCAAAAATTTTGTAACCTGTTTGAGTTTAATTTTATGCAAGTAACTACTCCCTGAACGTCTTTATCGTTATTGGTACAGTCAATATTTTACAATCTAGAATAAACCCATCGATAACGCCATTTTTAATCACGTATTCCCACATGCAGTCTGTATCATAAGCTATCGACAAAAACGGTGTAATAAACGGATAGAATTTACAGTAAAAAGATATTGCTGAGCGCAATGCAGAAAACGTTTAATAGTGCGAACACAGTTACAGAGACAGAGAATTAAACGGATAATTATACGTATATTTCGAATATACCATGTGTATAATATAATATTACACCGGTTATACACGTGGCTAACTGATATCTAGTATCTTTTGATCTGTGCACGCCGTCCTTTGTTTCATTTGAGCCCCGTAAAGCATGGTAATTTTTGCTTCTTATTATAGTCAAATAGACATTGCTATTTTTGTTGACATACGCAAATTATATTAAATCTTTAATAGCTTTCACCTGTAAAATTGGTCATAATACCGACATGTTATCAAAGAAAAAGTAAGACGGTGCACATGTAGTAATTATTAGACAACGCGATAAACTGCCATCAAATCAGCCTTGCATAATCTATTCTTGTTGACCCAAGCTGCTTACAAACGAATCTTTCGAACTGCATAACAGGCTGCATAAAACTTTGTCCGTAATAATTACAATTCAGTTTATCACAAATATCTGGTGATCAACAGCTTTCTTTACACCGCATGGATGTATGCTGTCCCGGCACATTTAGCCTTGTTGGCCAAAATTAGACAATGAACTTCTAATTAACACGAAAAAGTTTAGTATTTGGCGCTTACTAAGAAGGGCTGTTTGTTACACATTTAGTGCATTGGCTTTGACTTTGTCATATTCTAATTTTCTTTTGTTGAAAAAGAATTTTGATATTTGGTCCTATCAAATAGGCGTATCGAATTATTCGACCCTCACGACCACCCGTTTGAAATATTGAGCGTAGCATATAGCAAAGTAACCGAAAATTATTTTGCGACTATACTTATGACCCAAACATATCGCTTTTTTATCAGTGTCTCGTAGCAGAATATCTTATGCTTAATACTTTTCTTCTATAACACTGACGTCTCGCGTTTACGGCTGCAAGTTGGCTAATAAAAAGCACACTCCTCTTAATACTTTTAGTAGATATCAGGCTTTTGGACTTGGACTAACGCGAGTGTGCTGAAAAGTTTATCGCTATGGGGCGGGCAGGACAACCAGACAATGGAGGTAATCAATCGTTCCGCAACGTTTTGAAAATTTATTATTCTCAACTCAAAGAACTGTGTGTTTTTTTTTAAAAAACCTATGCCAAAAAATTGGTCACGAACGACAATTATAATGCTGTACGTTTACGTTTTATGCAGAAATGGTCGAGAATCAACTCAGACTCCCAATGAGTTGTTAATACAGAGACAAGTCACACGGTTTAAAGCTGCATCTGTTTATTTAACTGATACAGATAAAAGCATTCTCGGGCATTCTCGCGAAGCAGTGACGTAAAAACATTGCCAACACAGGCTCTCATAACTATTATCACGGAAACCCAACTAGGTATTTTCGCAAAAACTTTATGTAAACGGTGCATTATAAAAAACGCTATTTAAATGTTGGACTTACTGCGACGATGTTGCCAAAATGGTTTCAAAAGTGACAAGTCACTTCCAGTTTTTTTACATAGTCCAGATCTTGCTCCTTGAGAATGCCTTGAGAAAAGCTTTAATAGTGTAAAAGTTTTGTTTGCAAGGCCGATTAACCCCATCTCATAAGCTAACTATATAAAAATTTTTCAGAATTTGCAAATTTGTGAGGCAGACTACTTTGAGGAAATTAAATAATTGTATTTAGAGTTATCAAATAAAGAGCCGAGAACTTTCAACCCTCCATGTATTTGCTGTTCCGAACAAATACGGAATGTGTTTATTAATTATATGCAACAAGGTGAACATTTCGCGAGACATAAAAAATTTACAACGCGTCTCCTTTTACGTTTCCATGTCTGTGATGTACATTACTAGTGTTCACAACCACGCGAGCCATCTTCAAGGAAAGTACATGATTTATTTACCGGTTACCGGTCATTCACATCCCTACTGGCGTACGGCCTTTCGTCCTGATGTTTGGCGCTTATCTGCGGGGAACATCCTTGAGCATACGTGCTAAAAGCTATACCCGTATGCTGTTTTCAAGTACGTCAGTCGACTGACTTGTGTATCCGTTAAAATGCCTTTTTTTTATTGCTATAGATGTTTCTAGACATTGCATTCGATTATTTGGCTATGTAAAGTATCAAGACTAGTCAATAAGTCTATGTTGGATACGTAGAATCGAAGCGAGGGCTCCATGTTTATATGTTTAAATATCAAAAAAGAGATCTATTCCGTGCTTTTAAGTTACGAAAAAAATGAAAACGTCAGCAAAACACTAAAAAAAAAAGTTTTTTTTTGCATATGACAGCATGTTTTTGTCCATCACAGTATCGCTATTCAAGAATAAGCTGTGAATGCAAAGCAGAAACAAGGCAGTGTCAAGAATAAAGCATACTTCAGCGTGTACTATCGAAGATCTAGAGGTAATCTTAGGAGTCAGGAGCAAACTTTGTTACAATAATTTTACTAATACTTGTATCAGGGTTTTCATGTAAATAAGCGTCTTCTATATCAACTCGTCAATGAAGATGACAGATTAACTTAAAATGAAGACGATTACCGAGGCATACATAGTATGTGAAGAACTTCAGTATAAAACTGATACTAAAAATTCTAATTATTAAATGCTACGTGTCTCTAAAATGTTTCCCAAAGTGGTCAGTTCCTTAATATTGCGACAAAGAGCAATACAGTTCTCGTTTACATTGCAGTTCTGTAACGTATTATGCTTTAACTCTCTTTTTTTAGACGCGTTTATCCTTGGCAATCTATAATTATTTACAGTTTTTTTTTAATTAATTTCCATATATTCACATTTTTGCAACAGTAGGACGCGTCGACATATTTTTTAAACTGTTTGGACAACAAATCTTTTCCATCAAAGTTGGGGCTGCGTGAAATTTTTTGTGGCACTGTATGTTACGGACCCTTGTCTCAAGAATTTATAATTTCGTTCTATTGCGATTTGAAATTCTCAAACGAATTCTGAACCAAAAGTATATTGTGTCACCCTGCATGTAGGACAACTTGTTAAACGAAAAATAGACCCGTTTGTGTGGAGCAATTACATTCTTGAGACCATATAAACTGAAACTGCAAAAGTCTCTAAATCAAACAGTAAAATATTTTATTTTTGGAAGTCGTTGTCTTCGCTATTATTATGCAGTTTAAAGCTGATTGATTGTACGTGTCAAAATAATGATGATACGTTATTTCTCTAAAGCTGCAGTTCAAAGTTGCAGTAACAGCCAGATATTAAACATGTGGATATAATAATAATGGAGTTTATACCAATTATGGCATATAAGTGTACGGGGCATGCTGCAACAAAGCAAACAAAGCGAAAATTTTATTATGTGACATCCATGTTAATTAGCTTGACTAATATAACATTTGATTATCACAGATGTAACTTATTTTTTATTTTAATTATTATAATAATATTAATTTTAAAAATCCAATTAAAAGCATTTAACAATTTTTATTTAGTATAGTATCGATACTGGTTTTACATTTGAGCATGTAATGTTTAATTAATCTCAAACAAATGGACAATATATATCTTGTTGTTTGTACTTCAAAGAAGAAAACGTTAAAAGTATGCGAAAATATTCAACTTTTTTGCTAATTTTGAAAACATTTGCCTTTACGGTTTTCAATAAATGTAGCAACCAGCTGGGCTTCGTGAAAATTCCAGATCAAGATGCCTCAAAGAAAAGATGCAGACATTTTTGTAAACTGTTTAATTTGTTAAAAAAATTTTCCAACGCAGAATTAAGATCTAAGTATTGAAAAATCTACCGTTTGTATTTCTATAAAGTTTTCTAATTGATCTGAAAT